ATATGTGGACCTGAGGGAGACTTGCTGGTTGGGTCACTATGCGTCTGTTAAAATACACCTCCCAGGATAAGTAACTAGACTTGACATTGCTCCTACAGGCTCTGTAGTCCTCTTATTATAACTCGCTATATTACGTGTATACCTGCCAATCATCATTACAGCACACCTGTTTCAAGAGGCTCATCGACAGGGAGTTATACTCGTATTTGACACTTCCAAGTATGTCGGGGGGAAGTGGTTGGGAACCATATATGGAACACTAATATTTGGCACATCGATGGGAAGCAAGGATATTAGACACTAACTGACAGACACGTATGCTAAATGTGTCAGGAATATTCATACTTGACACGCTTATGCTAAAGATGTCAGGGGTAATCATACTTTATTGGTTCTAAGATGTCAAGAACAGCCATACTTGACACATGTTTGTTTTATCGCTGTTTGAACATGAAGCCACTCCTTACACACCTGTGGTAAGGGAGTCAGGGTTAGGTCTGGGGTTGACGGTGTAGCCAGATCAATTTACCTCGTTGAGAGCCAGGCGAGGGTCAACAAAGATAGCACAGTGCCACCACCAACATACTTCTTCACACGCCACCACTGTATGGATATCTCTGTGGCGGAATGTGGCCAACCCTTATATTATGGTAGCATCAGGGGTGGAAGATGTGGTTAGTGTGGGGGTATTAGGGACAAGGTGGAGGGATGTAGCCTGGGGAAGGTGTGGTTAGTGTGTAGGAGCTGGGGACAAGGTGGGGCGCTGCTCGGAGGAGTATGGCTTATGGTTGTGGTATGGCTGGGGAGGGGGAAGTGAACTTATTAGTGGTGGGGAACGCTGGTGGGGCAGGGAGAAGGGAGGAGGAGGCACGATTAGTGGGGAGTGGTGTAGGCAGACGTGATGGGGAGGGGGAGTCGACCATTCTGAATCGTGTAGGTACATCAGAATTTAGCGAGGCGTTGCTGGGTGACTTCCTTCCCGCGTGTAAAAAACAATCGTTCTCGACACTCACTGGTTGCAGGGGTTGTGTGTGTCGTCAGCGTCGCATTGTTGCAACTGCCACGTGGGGTGGGGGGGTCGATGCTATATTGAATTTTAAGTTTTAGTTATTCAATGCGTATACAATACATCGATACTGCACTAGAATATACGATATAGTTAATGAGTTCGATTGATTTTTCTTTCTTTGGAGGGAAGTGTTGTTATTCACTGTTGTCAGGTTAATACAGTGTGTGTGTGTGTGTGTGATTAAGGTATTACACATTCGACCTAGTTGGCAACCACGCGTTATTTGTTCTGTGGGTGTGGGTAGGAAAGCAATCATTGGTCATTTACCCACACTACCTGCCTTGGGAACTATGTTTGCCAACTTAATTCATAAGCTTCCTGTGTGTTGTTTGTGAGCACCAGGAGGGAGGAGGGAGGGGTCACCAGGCTCTTTCAACACCGGTCACCGAGGTCACTGGCCTCACATCAGCCAGTGGCGAAAAAAAGTTGATTGTTACCTAGTCAGTGTGTTGAGATTGGTTATCTTCATCTTTTGAGAAAATTATCATGTCACGACCGGTTTGAATTTTGTTTATATATAAATTTGCCTATCACGCAAATTTCTTTACACTGACTCGTTATTTTTACTTTGTGCGAGCTAAAAGAAAAAAAAAAGAGCATTCAAATTCTGAAGCCTTTAGGAGTTTAAACCGGCAGAACATCAAGGTTTATACACACTAAAAGAATAAACGATTAAATCAAATACTCATTAAAAACAAAACATAAAACCCTCCTTGAGTAAAAAAAAAAAAAAAACGCTGTTGAATTAATTTTAAAATTTCTTGTATTTTGGGAAACGTTAAGTAAAGGTCTCTCACATATACAGTACTTCCATCTTTCTTACCCACGGTGTACTAGTTTGACCAAAATAGAAAAAAAAGCCAATATGTTGGTGGTGATGTCTGTCAAAGGCCGTAGTGTCAATAGTAAGGTCTTCCTCCGTCCGTCCGACCGTCACATTGCTATAGAATCAATTCTGTCCAGTTGTGATGATGCGTCGCCCGGCAACCCTGGGACACTTATACATCCCCCCTAATCTCACCCTCCTTATCTATATACACCCCCTTACCATCCCCCCCCCCCATCCCTTTGTATACACCACTTTTTACACCTCACTCCTTGTATACACCCTTTCTTCCCGCTAAATTCCAATACAGTATACAGTACACCCCATATACTGATATACTGTACACCTATATATATATATACATCAGGTTATTCATTACTATTTTGCTTTCCCATGGCTATTTTTACCTATACTATAATTATTGCTATTATTACTATTATTATTATTATTATTATTATTATTATTAATTTTAAAATTAGTTACATTTCGAAAGTTTGTGCTACCCAATGAGACTATAACGCAATATCCCACAATAATGTCGCCTCAGTACACTTCGTATTTTACTAAAAAAATGCATTAACATGGAAACGTAAATACTGAATTCCTGAACACAAAATATACTACGAGTTTACATTAAGACTATCTTTTGTGAGTTGCATTTGTGGCCTCGTAAATAATGGTCAGTGTAAACTCTGCATTGTCATTGGTTTAAAACTCCTGGTACCTTATTGGTTTAGAATGCAAACGTCTCTGAGGTTAGCCTGTGGGGGAGGGGGATACCTCCCTACTACAGTAGTTTGAAATGTGAATATAGGCTTATGGGGGGTGTCAGTGTACTGTACTCCAACATAAAGGTATTATTATTATCCTTATTATTATTATTATTGTTGTCGTTGTTATTAGTATTATTGTTATTGTTATTATTATTAATATTAATAATATTTAATTGCTGAACATCAAAATTTGTACGTAATTACCAACATCAATACAGAAGTAGGCGAGTATAGTGGTTAATGAATAATATTGTTGTAAATACATTACAAGTACAGGTATTACAAAACACTGTAGGTGAATATTCTAGTTCAGACTACAGTACAGGTATTACAAAAGGCTGTAGGTGAATATTGAAGGTAGGAATTCGCTACAGGTATAACAAATGAGTATTAGTGTTGAATATTACAAGCGACAGTGACTGATGAATATTAATGGTCAATGACTACACTACTTTCTCAGATACTCTTGGGATCGATGGTCACTTACTGTTGCTGCTGTGAGTGTGGTGGTGGTGGTGGAAGGTAACGATGGTGAATGGTAACGGTGGTGGTGGTGGTGGATGGTAACGGTGGTGGTGGTGGAAGGTAACGATGGTGAATGGTAACGGTGGTGGTGGATGGTAACGGTGGTGGTGGTGGATGGTAGCGATGGTTGTGGTGAATGGTAACGATGGTGGTGGTGAATGGTAACGATGGTGGTGGTGGATGGTAAAGGTGGTGGTAGTGGATGGAAATGGTGGTGGTAGTGGATGGAAATGGTGGTGGTAGTGGATGGAAATGGTGGTGGTAGTGGATGGAAATGGTGGTGGATGGTTGGTAACGGTGGTGGATGATTGGCAACATTGTGGTGTCTCTATATTAATCCCCTACACTGGGCTAAATAAATGGACAGTATCTGTTTTGCTTACTTATCTGTCTGTCAGTGTACCTGTTAATTTATCAGTTTCTTCCTACCTGTCTATCTGTTTGTCATTAGTTCAACTTGTCTTTTAATCTTCCTTTCTCTCTTGTCTGCCTGTCTGTTCATCCACATCTTTATGTCGTTATCTGTCCGTTTTTATTTCTGGCTCTTTGCCCGACCACATATCTGCTTGTTCACCTGTCTGTCAATTTGTGTGTTTGTAAATTTATAGTGTGAAACTGTTTGTAAATTGGTAGTGTAAAACTCTGTGTGTAAATGATTGTGTAAATAAATTGTAAAAATGTATCTGTACAAAAACTCAGAGTCTGGTTATGTTGGTTGGTTGCATGTAACTCAGGAACAGCAAGAGTTACTGTGTTCCAAATTGCTGTAGTTCTGTACATACAGTCACCATGGCAACCACCCCAATAGCCGCCTTGTGTTTGTCGGCGTGAAGGTCAGAGGTCAAGGTCGTGACTTAACCCAGGCATGAGGTGACACATCGCTCGAGTGCAGTGTTATCTTAGTTTCTGTTGCTGTTTTGTTATCACTCTTACTCTCCCCCCCTCCCTCCCTCCCTCCCTCGGTACCTCCTTTCCTCCCCTTCATCTTCCCTTTCCTTGCCCCTCCGTCTTCCTCATTCCCTCCCTCTTCCCTTTCCCTCCCTTCTCCTTTCCTCCCCTGCCCTTTCCTTCCTCTCTCCTCGCCCCCCTCCCCTCCTCATAACTTCTCCCCCATTTTCTCCCTCCCTCCCCCCCACCTCCTCCCTCCCCCCACCTCCTTCCTCCCTCTGGTCTCTTACGCAGTGGTACTAAAATATTCACCATTGGCGCCTGGCTTTTGTTCAGTGTGGCATGAAGGACGTATGTGAGCCCCACGCCCTCATCAGCCCCACTCCTCACCAACTCCTCCACCAGCCCCACGCCCTCACCAGCCCACGCCCACCAGCCCACACGCTACCAGCTCCACGCCCACACGCCTTCACCAGCCCCACGCCCCACGCCCCACTCCACATGCTTTCCAGCCCCACGCCCACACGCCTTCACCAGCCCACGCCACTTGCTTTCACCAATCAGGCCCCTACACACACACAGACACACCTTCACCAGCCCACGCCCACCAGCCCATGCCCACTTGCCTTCACCAATCCAGGCCCCCTACACACACACACACTACCTTCACCAATCAGGCCCCCCTACACACACACACACCTACCTTCACCAGCCCCACGCCTTCACCAGCCCCATGCCCACTTGCCTTCACCAATCCAGGCCCCCCCTACCCCCTACACACACACATACTTTCACCAGCCCCACGTCCACACACACTCACCTTCACCAGCCCCATAGGTGACGCATCATACAGTAGGAAAATTAATATTCTTCACTTTTTTCATTTTCCACTCACCCATCCTCCTCTCTCATGTAACAGGTGGGAGGACCACTATGTCTCGGCCGGAGTCTGGGGTGAGAGAGGATGCTTTGGAGAGTGGGCTTGAGGAGCTCAACCCACGGTCACTCCAGCGGCTGCACCAGGTCCTACAGGTGCAGCAGTGGGAGGAAAAGGAAGAGGAGGAAAGTCGCCACAACGATAATTCTTTGGACGAGGTGGGCGACAACGAAGAGGAGGTGGAACAACAACAGGTGGGTTGTGAGTCGTGTTGGTTCTTGATGAAGATGAACAGAGTCAAGTTCAAGCGGCGTTTTTATAGAGTTCAGAGGTATAGTCTCCTGCTCTTAAGACTGATATAATTGTGTCGAGACAGTATTAAGACAAATTTCGAAGCTGTTTGGAAAATCACCGAGTGTTTCGAAACAGTACCGAGACGTTTCCTTACGACTGTTTCAAGTAACTGCTGAGACTTCATTGTATTATGTTTCGAGACATTGCCGAGGTAATTGTTGGATTGACTGTTCGACATTTAGAAACTTTTGAGACAGGAATCAAGCCGTTGTGATAGACCCTGGAGAAAAAAATATTGTCATTTAAAAAGTGTGAAAGATTAAAGGTTAATTGCCAGGTAAAGTTTGTTGCTCACTTTTATTCCACTACTTCGTTTATATATTGCCTGATGTAAGCTCAGACGTAGGGCCTCACCACCACCACACCTGTTTTGGAGAGATTTCTGAAGTAGTTTCTGTTAATGTTGGACTAAAAAGATCAGTCATCATGCTTTACTTCCGTTACTGTCTCCTGGAGGTACAGTCGAGATAGGTTCATAACTCTTATATTGTCAAGATAGATTTATAACTCACTCTTTCAAGTCTTGTCAAAAAATCAGCCACAACACCCGACTCGTCATTATTGGTTACTCACACACGTTAATCGATGGCTCTTCTCATCCCTACCTGTCGACTCTGGTTGTGTCCCACACATCAGTGCGGGGCGCGCGTGTCTGAACCCCCATCCCCCGTGGAGGAGGACCAAGGAGCGGGGGCGGCAGCGGTAGCAGAGGCGGAGTCTTCGGGTACATCGCCAGTGTCAGATCCTTCCTGGGAAACGGTGAAGGTTTGTCAAGACGTGCTGTTTCCTGAGCCGTGTGCCCCAACGCTCGCTATGAAGACTGATAAAACGAACACTGCGTCCCTCAGGGTAAGTTACTGTGTGTGGAGGAGGGGGTGATGCCTTGGGACTTCAGTGTGTGTGGGCTGATTGCCTCGAACTTAATGTTAAGGACACCTAACTTGTTGTATTTGGGTCTATAACACTTCCTGAGGTTTCATTCTATTTTCCAATTTGGATCACCTGAAGATTAAACTCTCCAACTTATTTCACTTTTAAGATTAACCACTCTGACCTTACCTTACGTAACGTTAGGGTGTTTAATCTTAATGTGAGCTAATCTGGGGGCTAATTTTAAGTTGATTAACAAATTCTGTACCACATTTGCACCTTTACACAGCCATATTCTACACTCATAACAACATAATTCTTAAAAGAAACCTGTGTCTTGGAATCTATAATCCGTCACGCCCTTCAACAACGCTCTTCTAATTACTGTCACCGACAACCAAACATACAACGAAACTGTTTTCTCTCAACTTTATTATCTTCACTCGCTCACTGACGGAGCCCCTCACGTGTTACGGCAGGAGTTACAGAGCAGCGTGTCCTACGAGAGCGTGCAGCTGCCGGGGAGCATCATGGACGAGACGAGGGTCCTCACCTCTGCCGACGCCCTCCAGGCCAAGTACGAGAGGTACAACGACCCCTTCATGATCCGCAAGGACACGGACGATCGTCAGGTATGTAGCTCGAGTCCATATTGACCCTGGAATGTCGTGGATTCGTAGGGTAAAAATTTCCCCTTAACTCATTACATTAAATCCATCCCCACACCGCCATGACCTCCTAAGTAGTCGTAAAAAAATATCCGCTTTAATCATCGAAACATTGTAAAGGGAGCAAAGTGGCCTTGAAAAAGCACCGAGGCTGTACTCTACTGTATAGTAAGGTGTGTTCTCTTCCCTTCCTAGCGCTGTACTGAAGGTGTAAGAACGGATGAGGAAGATTTTACTTTTGGGGGTCAGTTTTGTCGTATGCTGGGCCAAAAGTTAGTGAGGAAATGGTCGAAGTTTGTCGTTGGGAAAGTCATAGTAGGTGAAGGAATGGTCAAGGTATACGGTGGGTGTTACAGTTTAGTGATCAGAGGTGGAGTAACCCGCTAGCTGCTGAATGATGGTGGAGCAATCCTTGGATGGGCCATCATTTTGCCAAGGGAGGGTGGATTACCTCTACTCCTTGTCTGTAATGTTAAGTGGTATCAAGTTAAGTGTTCCTGTGTTAAGTGATAAACTAATCTATTTCACTTAAATTAGGTGGGGGTTAGGTTTGGTTTAGTTGGTTCGTTTTGACTACTATTTCAAATAAAACCAGTTGCTTAATCCTACAGTCGCCATGATGGAAAAATACCGTGACACTGAGCTTAACAATTACCAAGAGTTCGCGTTATTGCATCGTTTTACAGTCTTGTGAGCATTTTTGGTGCCTTGAAAACTTTGATCACGTCCATTTGCAGAATTCCTAGAAGCCACGTTCATTTGTTTAAGGCAGCTTCTTGGTAGGGGACACATTACAATAGATTGGCTTTTGGAGTTGTCGGAACATTTCTTATTTCCTTTGTTGTGGAGTGAGTTGTGAGGTGGTAGGCGCAGGTCTCGTGTGTGTGTTGGTGGTGCAGCCCTCGTGTGTGTGTGTGTGTGTGTGTGTGTGTGTTAGTCGGTGCAGCCCTTCATCTATTATGGTTGCCCTTCCGAGGTTCTCTTCCTGTTAACATTAAACTGCCCAGTATTTTGTTTTTAACTTTTTCGAAGCTGCATAGATCATCGTAAGATAGGATAATATATATTTTTTTTTCGTTGTTTCGTGTTATGTTTTTTGTTTTCATTAACCTTAATACCACTTAACACATGAATATTACTTTACCTTGGTACCACTTAACAAAGGAACACGACTTAATTTTACTACCACTTACAACAGGAGCCTTTACCCTACTACCACTTAACACAGAAACACGTAACATTTCACTAAGCAATCTACTTTTATAAAATTGATTAGAATAAGTAAAAAAAAATCACCACTAGCCCAAACCTTATCAGCAGCAACACTACATTCACTTCTGCAGCGGGGTGGATCGAGGTTCGGAAACCTTAAAAAAAAAAATGTATATATGCCACCTTCCTCTTCCTGGTTGAAAAGTTGATCACAGTGGCATTTATTTTATCACCAGGAAGTCACTGAGGTGGTTGTGATCGTGTAATGTGTTGTTTAGTGAGTTGTTATGTATTGTAACCTTCTAGTGATTTTGGTTTTGTGTTTTTGTACTGTATTAATAAGGGAGAATTTTTTTTGTAGTGTATTGAAGTTGTTCGTCCGTGTATGGGCGTGCTGTTTGGCTGTGTAAATGAACGTGTTGTCTGTAAATTGTCTTACGTGTTGTAAATGAGCTTATTGTCTGGCTGTGTGTAAATGATATCACCGTGTTGTAAATTAACAAGTTGTCTGACTGTGTAAAAAACAATAGTAGTAGTTATTATAGCGCACACGACTTGAACTAGCATATTTAATGATTCCAATAACATTTTATAAACTTCCACGTTCAACATTAAGAATTGCTATACTGTGCTATACTGTACGTAGAACTGTGCAGTTATATACTGTACACCAGGGGTTCTCAACCAGGGGGAACTGATACTAATATGGAAACAATAAAGGATTTTCAATATTATATGCATATTATTTGGAATGCACTTTTTGAGGCAGACAATCTTGGAAAGGAGGGGGGAATGACATTCTGACATATGGTGAAAGGGGTGCATGGGGCAAACAAGGTTGAGAACCACTGCTGTACACGGACTACTCCAGGATTTAATATAGGAAATCTTAGAGATTATAGTAATTGGTAATATTCGTTTGAGATTCATATTTTTGTATACTTTTTCTTTTATATTGTGGGAATTATAGAAAATAATTGTGGTGGCTAAGATATGTTTGTGTAAATATTTGTACCCTAAAGTTGCTGTGACTTTAGTTTCTTGGATCTATTTATTAGTTTGTTAGCTATGATGGCTAATTTGTTAGCTCTGATGGATAGTTCTTAGCTCTGATGGATAGTTCCTTTATGCCTCAATTAACTATTAGGCCTGAAAAGAGCCATTAGAGAGGAGGGGCGGGGCACTTGATAGGCGGCCGGCCATTGTATGTATCGAGGAGTTGTCTGTCACTAGATGAGGAGGAGGCCGGGGCTTGTGTGTGTTACTCCGCCTTACTGTTGCGTAACACAACACACACATATATATATATATATATATATATGGGTGAGTACAGACTGAGGCATAATTATTGACAAGGCTAATATATACAGTAAAGGAGAGAGAGAGAGAGCAAGTCCCTGGGGACAGCAGGTGTCCACCATATTCAGGTCATATTCAGCTCTTATGGATAGTTCCTTTACCCCTCAACAAGCTATTAGCCCTGAAAAGAGCCATTAAGGGGGAGGGGCGGGGCACTTAATGTGAATGACACGAAAGCTCTTGGGAACTTCGTGTTTCTTGTTTCCTATGTGGTTATCAGCACACACACACACCTTATATAATCCACTTCATTATCATATCGAAGGACTTATTGTGTACCTGTGTGAGTCTGCCTCTTGTTTGTCCAGTTGTCTCTCATCAGCTGAGCAGGGGAGGAGTAGAGCTTTTGACAGTGTTTTGCTACATTCACTGGACACGGATAATTTTTTTTAAACGAATCTGGACCACGTGAAGATTAGGCATCCCAGGTAATTTAGACTGATGATTGAACATCTTGTCTCCAATTTAAACCTAATCTAATCTATACTACTCTAATTTAACCTAACATAATCTAATCTAACAGTTAGATTACTGGTTAGAGTCTAACTAACCATAACCTACCTTAACCTAATCTAACCTGACCTAACCATAACCTGCCTTGACCTACTTTAACCTCACCTAACCCAATCCTCAGGTGACCCTTAAATCATAGGATAGACCACATATTGTATTGTTATTCCAATATGGATAAAGATTTTCATTTTATTTATTTTTTACCTCTAGCTTGAAGCGGAATAATCAGGTGTTGCCTATGGGTGTCTTGAAGGTCACTGTTATTTATTCAGAGTGTTTACACATTTTCTTGTTCGGTTTACTGCGAGGACAATGGCCACGTGTGTTGGGCCACAAATATAGACCATTGTCAGTGGGAGGAAGGGAAGGGAGGTGATGGTGGTGGTGGGGATCGGTGTTGGTGAAGGGGGTGGTGGCCTTGGAGGTAGGAAGGTAAGAGGTGGTGGGGAGGGGGTTATTGGTGGAGAGGGAAGGTGGATTTGGCGGTAGGGGTGGCCTTGAAGAGGGGGGGTTGGTAGGTGAGGAGAGCGGGAGAGTGGTGGTGGGAATGAAGCTCTTGGAGGTTTGTGGGAAGCTGTTGGTGGTGGGGGAGGTAGTGATAGTGGCCTTCAAGTACAGTAAGTGAGAGACAAAGAGGGGTAGAAGAGGGTGGTGGATGGTGGCCTCCCTATAGATGGCACATATACCCCCCCCGTGTAGTATTATGCTCCGTCAGGTGAGTGAGAGTGAATGGTGAGTCGTTATAGCAAAAGGCTTGAGGGCTTTTATATGTGGTAGTCCGGCACCTTCCTCCCTCCTTCCTTCCTCCTCCCTCTTCCCTCCCTCCCTCCTCCTGTGTTGGTCTTGTGGCAAAATTACTGGACAATGTCTCTCCTCATCCTCCCTGGTCTTCCTCCCTTCTTTTGTTTTTCCTAGGCTTCCTCCTCCTCTTCCTCCCTCATCCCCTCTGTTTATATCCCTCCCCCCAGTACCACCGTCAACACTTAGTGACTGATAGAATGTGTTAGTTGTTTGCAGCTAATCACCCCCCTCCTCCTTTCCTTCCGTTCTCCCCTCTTCATTTTCCTTCATACTTCCCCTACCCCACTACCTGTCTCCCTCACCAGCAGCGTCGCCAATCACCACAATTGCTACTATAACCACGCCTCCTCATTAGTGCAAGCCACGCCCATCAATTCTCCGAGCCACACCCACCTCTATCATCAATCACGCCCATCACCTACAATCACCATCTACCACGCCCATCACTACCACTCTGAACCATTTGTTTACCATCATAACCACCCATAATCACGCCCATTATCACCATCGACCACCGCCGACACTCTCCACGCCCACCTCCCGACACTAGACACGCCCACCCACCTAGTGACGCAACAACCTTATTGACCAGAAAGAACATTGCGTCACAACCACGGTAAATCCCGCCCCCTTATCTCTCAGTAATCCCCTTGCGTGACAACTGCCTGTAATCCCCCACCGTATCACTGCCTGTAATCTCCTTGCACGTCACTCCCCGTAATTCCTATGATGTAGCGGCCTGTAATCCCCTACCAGGGCACTACCTGTAATCCACTAATGTCTCGCTACTTGTAATTTCTCGCTGCTCAATACCTGTTAACTCACTGGTAAATCATTCTCGGGTGATTTACTCAACTCAAATGGATTTTCGCTCCTGTTTTGATATGTACTGTAAATTTAGAACGATAGATTATCCATAGTGTATTGGCTGACGCGCTCGAGTAAAGTACAGTATTGATATTCCACCGTCAGACGTAACATTCAACACCTCGACTCGTGTGTTTGCTCGATGTCGTTATGGACGAGAGGGGAGAAGTTATCAACATGATTCATATTTACAGCCGGGTGGGAGGGAGGGAGGGAGGGGTGACGTTACGGGAGGTGGACTATATTGCTGGATTGGTGTTATTCGGTGTCAAGCCTCGGTCAGGGCGAGTCCTACGTTTCCTGCCAGCTGCTCGGGTCTTCCGCTCTCTTTCCTGCCAGTTGGATTACGATCTTTCCCCGCCATTTTTTATTTTTACTGTTTTTCCTGCCAAAGTTTGTTGTGATTGTTTTTTCCAGCAAAAGTTTGTTGTGATTTTGTTTGTTTTCCGTTACATCAGATCTTTCGAACTGTGGCCTCCGTATTTACCAGACAGTCCACAAATAACGCATAATTGTGACAAAAAACAACAACACCCAGATTAGGAAAAGAAGGGCGTGTGTACCATCCCTGCAGTGCACGAGACTCAGGGGGAATACTTTGTTATGGGAGGAAGACTGTGTGAGTGAGTGACTTCATGTGGAACAACCTGAGACGAAGAGAGAGCGAGACGATGTACCACACACTGGCGCCCACCATCACCCACAGTGCAAACAAGATCACCTTCGTCACCCAGTACCAGGTGAGGCAGCCAGATGACCACAGGACCCACACAGATGACCACAGGACCCACACAGGTGACCACAGGACCCACACAGGTGACCACAGGACCCACACAGGTGACCACAGGACCCACACAGGTGACCACAGGACCCACACAGGTGGCCACAGGACCCACACAGGTGGCCACAGGACCCACACAGGTGGCCACAGGACCCACACAGGTGGCCACAGGACCCACACAGGTGGCCACAGGACCCACACAGGTAAATTGATAAATAACCACGACGCTTCAGGTGATTACGAACATAACACCTTCACTACAGGGACGTCACTTTTAATATTTTATTTGACTAACGCCAGACGATTTTTATTCAGCACAAGTAATTAGTCGAACCTAAAAATGACTTCAAGCTCACAGGTGATTAGAAACTTTTACGTGGTCAGGAACACGCACACACAAGACCAGGAACTAAGATTCAACGATATTTAATTCTCTCTCCAAGAATAGCATCTCGGGAAGGTCAGGACTAATATAACTCTCTCCCTCACTATATATAGCACAACATTACTAAATTCTTCACAGCCTCTCCTCGACTCTGCTTGTGTTATCTGTCGTGCGTCATCAGTGGTGGTGACCTGGCCGGCTAAATTTATCCCAGCATTGTCTAGCCGTAGTAGTAGTATAATGATAGAAGTAGGTGAAAAGGTTCTTAAAAATAACGTGTGTGTGTGTGTGTGTGACGTATAATTTAACTGTTGGAATAGAATGATAAAGTTTAGAAGTTTTAGTTACCCGGTTTATGTATTGTGATTAAAAAGAAAAAATAATAAAAATTTAAATATTGTTTTGTTGACTATAATTTGGAATTATTTTAACGTGTATGCAAAGTGTTTGAATATCTTGAAAGTATTTAATTGGTGAGTGATAAACTGCGTGTATATACTTAAAGTTTGGCAGAGCTGTTCCTGCTAAAGTCGACGTTATTGTCATTTTCCCGAAGCGACGAAGTTACAATTACATTTTATTGGAACTCTTAAAGAAATTGCAAATGAAAAATAATAAATCTTGTATAGTTATTGTTATTCCTGTTATTATTATTATTATTGTTTTTATTATTATTTTTTGTCGTTGTGTTCATTACGGGGTATCTTTCTTATTTGTATTATTATTATTATTATTATTATTATTATTATTTTAGGACATTGAAAAATTTGTGGCCATGACTCTTGCTAAACAAAATAATTATCCTCACATTTCTGAATCCTTATATGAAAAGAGATAATTAATGTCTGTCAGTCAAGTAACCAGTCAGTCAGTTAACCAATCCAACCAGTCTATAAATTCAGCCTTAGTTAGATCAGTCATCCACCAGAGTCATCCAAACAGCCAGTTAATTAAATCAGTTATCCACCCAATCACCATCGAAACATCCACTTAATCATCCACCCATCTAATCATCCACCCCCCCCCCATGAAGCACCCAGTCAATCACCCACCCAGTCACCTAATCACCCACCCAGTCACCCACTCATTCACCCAATCACCCACCCATTCACCCAATCTCTCACCCACTCATCCACCCGCCCACCCACTCAATCACCCATCTACCTAATCACCCACCCACTCATCCAACCACCCAATCTTCCACCAGGTGAGGAAGACGGTGGAGACCCTCTTCTTCCGGGACAACAAGCGGAGGATCGACTATGTGTTGGTGTACAGGGAGGAGGACGACCCGGCCAAGGTGGAGATGCGGAAGGCCTTCGAGGAGAACCTGCTCGAGAAGGGCCTTGAGCTGGAGACCGAGGACAAGAACGTAGGTTGGGTGGAGGGGGAGGTGAGAGAAGAGGGATAGGAGAGGTGGGAGGTAGGGGAGTTAGGAGAAGAAAAGGGTAGTAGGGTGGGGGGTTAAAGGTCTCGAGATAAGGGCACAGGAAGGTAAGGTGACGTCACAGGTATCGATGACGACACTGACTAATGACGTCATTTGTATTTATTTGTCATTGTAATATTGATGACGTCATTTATACTGATGGCGTGTCCCTCGTGACCCTTTTGTATCGATGGGTACTTGGTGGGGGGTGGTGACGTCATTTGTATCGATGGGCACGGGGCTGATGACGTCATTGTTATTGATGACTTATTTTGGCATTGCTGACGTAACTTGGTGTAGGTAACGTCAGAGAGAGGTGTTGGTTTTCCAAATAGCTTGGGGCACGGGAGGGTGTAATGGACGCTAATAACAGGGTTTTAAGTCTTTAATCCTACCTTACATCATGCCCAGTCTCACATTCCAACTTCATTCCCATCTCCCACATTCCAGCTTTATCATTCCCATCTCCCACATTCCAACTTTCGTCTCCTATAGTGAATCCTTGAGTCTTTTTCTCATATTTTTTGAAGCTTATTTTTTGGTCTCCTTCCCGGCAGCAATCCCAAGACGGCGAGACTTACTTTGTCAAGATCCACGCCCCCTGGGATCTGCTGGTGCGCTACGCTGAGATTATGAACCTGAAGAAGCCAATTAAGGTAAGCAAGGTGTTAGGATCTTTCCCCTCGGCTCGTGGTGTGGTTGTGGTGGTGGTGTTGGTGTGTGTGTCTGATGGTGTATTAGTGGTGGTGGTATTGTGGTAGTGTTGGTTTAGGTGTGGTTTAATCATGGTGTGGTAGTGGTACTCATGATGGTGTTGGTTTAGGTGTGTCTTATCATGGTGGTGTTGGTGTGTCTTTTCATGGTGGTGTTGGTGTGTCTTTTCATGGTGGTGTTGATATTGATGTGTGTATATAGATAATAGTTATTTTGTGTGTGAGTCGAGTGTATTAGTTACGACACACTCGTATAACTGAACCACTCACAAAGGGACTAATCTCTGCATGTGTAGGACTTGCACTAAAATAACCAATTGATTTATAGGAGCAACATTCTTGGATGGAATGTGTCTATAGTTTTGACTCCTTCACCCTCACTCCATGATCGAGGTTAAAGAGGAAGGTTAATTTTGCGATAATGAGAGCTACTTTGTGGTGACCTGAGGCTATGAGTTGACACAATCTTTTAGCCTGAGGTAGGGAAAAGAGCGAGTCAAGACGTTGTTGGAGGAATGATAAGGACATTTCGTTGGTCGTGAGTATCCTGGTTGAGTTATTGCTGTCGAAAGTCAGAGATATTCATTGGGACTGATTTTTACACCTGTGATTTGTTGGTTCGTGTCTTTTGTGTGGAATTTTTTTTTGCAATGAATTGAGTTTGTGTTGTGGCCTTTCGTGCACTTAGGTGTGGCTTTTGTGTGTGTAAAAGGAATGGACTTTTGTTTTTAGAACGATTAAATGGCTTTTTTGAGTACTTTAAAAGAGATTAATTGATTCTTGTACCTTTTCTAGTCTGGTCTTGTACAGGTAGATTATAGTAAAATAAAATAGATTGTTCTCTGGTAATGTTCCTACTAAAATCGACCTTGGATATAGTACATTAGGGGTATATTATCTACCCAATACAGTATATTATAGAAGTGTGAAGGTTTGATTGATAATTGGCATATTTTTGTGTTTAATTCAGTTCATCGACACCGAGTGTTTGGTTTTGTGGAATTGATGTGGTTTTTAAGAAGCATCTAGAGTGGTTTGAAGTTGCTGTGGGTTTTAATGTTTTTATGTATGTATTTTGTTTCATTATTTTTTCAGGGATAATTTTAAGTTTGAGAAAGATTTTTTTGTGGGATTTTATTTTCAACCACGAGTGAGCTTGAATCTGACCTTTTTTATGGTGATTTTTTTCTTTTAACCTGATTTTTTGGGGACATGTATTTTGAAAGGACAATTTTGTGGGGGTTTTTTGTCCATGATTTTTATTTTTTTTACATGAATAGATATATTTTTTTTTTTTGGTGTGTGTACAGGACTAGAGAAAACGTTGCCAAGATTTTGCATGCTGTGGCTGGGTCATAAAGCAACTGTGTGCACCTAGATTAGACATATAGTTCACACGTCAACAATCAAGGGTGATCTAATCAGTACATTTTAATATTTTTTTTGCATTGTGTAATATACTCATCGAATTTTTTGCAGTATACTTTTTGCATTGTGTAATATACTCATCGATTTTTTTTTCAGTATACTTTTTGCATTGTGTAGCATATTAATGTATTTTTGTGGTATATTCTATTTTTTAGCAGAATATTTTTGCATTAAGTAGAATAGAAATGCGTAAGTTTATATGATTATTATTATAATTTTTTTTTTGTAATTTCGGCTCAAGTGGTGCTGGCACTGAGAGGCTTCTTGTCTGCTGTTTAGTCTAATAATGCATTTTGCTCCTTAATTTACATCTTTTATGAGACAATATTATATCCACCTTTTATCTCGGAATTTTCCCTGTTGCTTTAATTTTCCCCTGCCATCCAGACCTCATAGTTTCCCTACCACCTAGACTTTATATTTCCCTGCCGCCCTGTCCAGAATATTGGCAAGTCTTATGATTTAAAAATTTTATCAAGCCCCTTCCCATCCCTCCCCTCCCATCCCTTCTTTCCCCTCCCATCCCTTACCTTCCCTTCTTTACCCTACCATCCCTTTCTTCCCCTCCTATCCCATCCCATCCCCTCTGTTACGCCGTCTCTTAATTTACTTAAATATCCAGGTTCTAGGCGTAACCAAACAAAAAAAGTGAAGTAAATTAAAAGGGAATAAAAATAATTGAAGTAAACCATTAAGAACTTAATTAATTAAATATTAACACAATAAAGAGCCTCGTAGGCTGTCACAACAAATTGATTCACCATCGAAACTTTTAAAGACACAAATGATACTAAACATCGAAACATCTAAAGAATAAAAATAAAGCATTGGATTACGTTAACACTGCATAAACATATAAAAACTAACACTGAAATTAACTAACGTGAAACAACACTGAATTACTTAAATGTAACTAAGCAAATACTGATGGACATAAATAGAAACATAAATAGGTACTCACAGATATACCACATTGGTGGCGACAGGAACAACACAAATAAATTAAGTATAAGTAACAGGTGACGAGTGTCACTCAAAGGATGTGAACTGTATGACAAGAGGACTGAACTAACTCCGTCAGTTGGTGGATCCTATATATAAGGTCGGTTCCCGCCACGCGACCCGCCGGTGGGTCGTTTAACGATGCAGATGGTCGTTAGAGAACAAAGAATGCTGGTTACAATACAAAATGGGTTTGAACAAATAATAACAGTTAAAACCTTAACAGCACAGGGTAAGGTGATTAGATTATATAATAGTAAATACAACACATCATTACAGGAATAATATGGAACATGGAAGCATGTTATATAAAAAAAATAGAAAAATACGACACGGGCGTAACACCTCCCATCCCTTCCTTCCCCTCCCATCCCTTCCCCATTCTTGTTATTTGTCCTCCATACCCTCGTTTAAACACCCGCCCCCCACCCCCGAGGTTGCCATGACGACGGAGCTCCATAAACAAAAATAAATATTAAATAAAGTAAAGTTGTGCAGTATTACAACTCAGTAGTGACCAGTGTTTAAATAATTATCTACGTCTTTAAGGACAACTTCAGTGGCTATACGAGTCTGCTATTGATTATCCCACCAGAAGAATACTTTGAAACTTTTAACTAATTTTTCACACTTTATTACAGTATATAAATTTAATACGAACTTATTGCTCACACTAACACAAAATCTTCTGCCATCCTCAATTCATTATATAAATTAATAATTTTGTTATTTACTGAATTATGGGTAACTATTTAAATACACATAATTCTTCAACTACAGTAAGTGTTGCCTTATTACTAGACAGAGGAGGAAGTAGGCTACTCATGTGGTCAGTGACGTGTTTAGTCACTGTGGGTCAATAAACAAAAGGTTAACACCAAGGGTATTGTTAGTGTTTTGCTTTCCAATTTTTAATTTGTATTATATTCATTAATTCAGGTTGAGATGTTTGTCTTATGTAAAGTCGAGGTCAAGTTTTGTAAGTTATCTTCACTTAAGCAACTAGACTTAGCTGATAAAGTATCGTTGGTGTCAATGTGGAAAAGTACATAGACTTTACTGTACTTTGGTGACGTCACGCTTACCACCAAGGCGTTTGACGGATGGTAATTTTTGAAAGTTTTTAAAATTATTTTCTTAAAGTAAAACCTACAAGGAATAGTACTGAAGTTGATCTTGAAGCTCTTGTAGAGCAGTAGAATATTGTTAAATAAACCTTTATAGTTATACATAATATATATATATATATATATATATATATATATATATATATATATATATATATATATATATATATATATATATATACTCATTAAATACTTTTAAAAAATAGTAATTAATGTTTGGCACTAATATTCCGTAGTATATGTTCATGCTAATATAAAAAAATGAATGTTTGCAAATATAATCATGCAATATTTTAGTTACTTTTTTAGCAACCAATTTTATTTCTATTTTTGATACTTGAAAATGATTGTATATTGGTAAGTAGTTAAGTGTCTCCACCACTTCCTCATAGCACTAATGACAAACACAATCTCTCTCCCCACAATACAGAAATTTATTGTCATACGCGGAGGTGAAGTTTGGGTAAGTGACGTCACTCTTACGTCTCGACTCCATGTTCTGACGTCACTTGTGTTGTCATGACGTCATATATGTTGCCATGTCTGCATTTTTGTATTCCGTAACATTTTTTTTAATGATTATGCCTGTTGCTCGTTACTCACCTAAACCGTTCAACATTTAAATCAACCTAAACATTTGGCATTGTGCATAGAGGTGTATGATGGGGAGGGGGATAGATAATAATTTGTTTTACAGTTTGTGAAGATGTTTACGCTTGTTAGGTTTTACGGTTGTTTGTTTTCGTTCAACAGCTGAACTAATATTTATTTACGTTTATGCAGCTGATTTAAAAGTTTGTATACATTTTACAGCTGATCGAAACTTTTTGCAGCTGATTTAAAAGTCTTACATTTTACAGCTGATCGAAACTTTTTGCAGCTGATTTAAAAGTCTTACATTTTACAGCTGATCGAAACTTTTTGCAGCTGATTTAAAAGTTTGTTTACATTTTACAGCTGATAGAAACTTTTTACATGGAAGAATTTATATGAGATTAAACATTGGGTACATTAGAGAGATATTACCTGATTAATAATTTGCATACTTTCACATTGCAATAACAGACAGACAAGACACAATAGTGAATCACATTACCAACACGAGTGTTAAAAAGTCTAAGGACAAGCCATCATATGTTTCATTATGTGGCAGATTTATATTATTGGGGCATCCTGTATCCTTATCTGGAACACACACACACACACACACACACATACATACACTTATTATACAACTTTCTCATTTGACTACAGTTCTTATTATGAATGGTGTTTTCTATGGCTTTGTTAGTGTTTTATTCCTGTAGTATTACCCTCAAACATGTGATAACAACCTCGTTTGTATAGTTTCATCATTGTGTATATACTGTAGTATTACCCTCAAACATGTGATAACAACCTCGTTTGTATAGTTTCATCATTGTGTATATACTGTACTGTATAGAGTCACTGTTTATGATACTGTTTTATCATTGGTTTATAATCATGTTTATTTACTACTATATATATATATATATATAAATATATTATTTTGTTTTTATTTTTATTTTACAATCATGTGTTGGGACAGTCGATACATTTTCACTATCATGTTTCAGTATCACCATTTTATACCAGCTTCACCATTCTGTTTCACCTATCAATCTGCTTTACGTATCTATCTGTCATGAACGTTTGTCGTAAATCAACACCAACCACCTTAACCACCATCACTCTCTATCACCATTGACCACCATCGTTACCATCATCACCACCTTCACCACTACCACCATTATCATCACTCACTATCATTACCATTATCATCACCATCACCACTGTCACCATCACTATCACCATTGTTTCTTCGTCTTCACCAGCTTTCACTACGAGTACCTCCACCTCTTCCACTATTGGTCATCATTGGGCTACTGTACTTTTCTCCACCTACCTGTGTACAGTACCACTCACTCCACCTGCCCCATCCAGGCATGTATACAGTAATAAACCACTACGTCTCCACCTAGATGTGATCCACCACAATCCACCTTCAGTGTATCCACCAATTTTAAGCTTTAACCCATGTTTATGTATACTGTATATTATGCCTTATACCCTGGTAGTCTATGTATACCTTGCTATGTATACCTGCTATGTATAATACCTACACATTGGTTAGATTCCTCCTGTGTTGTATATTGGGTGTAAATATGTGTATTGATTCTACTGTATTGATGAGGTTTGTAAATAATGCTTGATTTACAGAGTATTTAAATATCACATTTACCGTATGACGTAGTGAGGTATTGTTTGTTTGTTCATTGTTTACTCTTTTTGTATATATTGTATTGTATGTTTTTTACGCTACCTGTAGACTAGTTCCCTGTCTGGGTGTTTATCGAGTGTGTAGCTAATACGAGGAGAGGGAGGGAGTGTGAGACGGGGGAGAGGGAGGGAGTGGGTGACGGGGAAGAGGGAGGGATTGGGTGGCGGGGGAGAGGGAAGGAGTGGGTGACGGAGAAGAGGGAGGGATTGGGGGGGGAAGAGGTGAGACGGGAAGAGGGAGGGAGTGTGAGACGGGGAAGAGGGAGGGATTGGGTGGCGGGGGAGAGGGAAGGAGTGGGTGAGTAACACTTGTAGTTTGGGTTATTAGTAGTTACATTTATGATTATTTTGAGTATTGTGATAACAGAACACACACACACACACACACACACACACACACACACACAGTAAAAGTAAAAATGGATCCCGTAGGCATGACTGTTTTTTTAAGGCAATATGAATACAGCGAGACACATGTACAGTACTTGATTACCTTTATTTTCCCAACTGTAGAACTAGCTAGCTCGTCATAGTTAGGTGGGATGGAGGTGTGAACCATTGATTCAGGGGACAGGATGCGAGCGCTGTATCCACTTGACCGCTACACACCGTATGAATCATAGTACTGTAACAAGAAAATTCCACACTCGAATTATTCCTCCCCCTTGGCATTAAACAGTCAATATATTCAGGATATTTTTTCTGTTCATAGTATATAGTTGTAACAGGCGGTATATACTGTACACGTAAACATTTTGTATACCCAGGATATACTGTATATACCTCATTAATATCTTCTGACGCTGGTAAATTATACTCCAGTGATGATTTTTTTATTCATGTATTGATTCACCTTGAAGACGTGAATAATGTCGTTTACTGGTTTCCGTTAACGAAAAAAAAAACACATTGATGAGATCCTGCAATATCAACCTAACCTAACGAGCAATGTGTTTAGGGCTGGCTGACTGAAGAAACAGATAAATGAATACATACAACTAAAGATAATAACGGTAATGATAATAATAATGAAGGTATTTAATAACGAACAGTACAGTATATTGTAGAGGTTCAGTATCTTAATAATGCTAGGATGATATAAAACAAGTGTTGATTAATTTACACTAGTTTTTCCCTCCTTCCTGGTTTGAATAATTAAGTACGGGTTGGTTAGGTAAGACAGGCAATCAAATGTGTACACGTAGGAATGTTACCTGTAATTTGTGTACGGGTATTACCTGTAATTTGGCTCTTGATTAATACCGTAATGGGGATTAGGATTGTGATGCATTGATGTTATTAGTTAGTGTTTCGTGGGTGAGAGATGTGATGTATGGTTTATGGAATGTGACGTAGGCTCTAGGTGTGTGTGTGTATAGTGAATTAATGATGAATGATATATGTAAGGGCCTTGATGGTGTATGCCCTAGGTGTGTGTATAGAGTTAGTTTGTGGTATATAGTTATTATGCTGAATATTTACACCTGAGATAGTGTTATTATTATGTGTGTTGTTTTTCATTATAAATTACGTCGAACTGACAAAAAAAAAACCCACTCGAATGCAAAGAATTAATAGTTATTTGTTGCAATTCCTTCTTGTCTACCTGACCTTGGAATAGACACCAGATATTGTCAAGTGTCGGTGATAATTTGGCACGAAATGTACAAAAGGTTATTCAGTCTCAAAACTTGTGTTGGCGTAGTGTGTGTAAATGTTATTGTAATGTTACGGAGGTGTTCATCTTTGTTTACAGTGTTCATACCTTACCACTTGTTTTATTTACGTGTTCTACAGTGTTCATACCTTACCACTTGTTTTATTTACGTGTTCTACAGTGTTCATACCTTACCACTTGTTTTATTTACGTGTTCTACAGTGTTCATACCTTACCACTTGTTTTATTTACGTGTTCTACAGTGTTTATACCTTACCACTTGTTTTGTTTACGTGTGATGAATACTGTCCAGCCTGTGAGAAGTACTGTAAGTTAAAAATATTCTAAGGTAGGTCTCTCCCTCCCTCATCTGCATGTTGAATTAATGTTAAAGTATATATGTGTGTTTATTACGTGTTTCAATGTTTTGCTTCATGACTGCATGTTTGATATTGATAAATTATTTAGTTATAAATTGTTAGTAATGATTGGGGGTTGTGAGTAACTCCTCTCGATAGTTGTTGCACACACACACACACACACACTGGAAGGTTGTGTTGGTTGTGTGTGTGTTTCGTACCAACTATGGCTATAATATTTATCTTGTAGTTAAATTATGTGATGTGATGGGATCAGTTGATAAGAACTCTGGGATGATGTAATATTCATGTAATTGTGATAACACCTCATCGTGTCTTATCATTTGAGGTGATGAGTTATGGTAATTACAACGATATCAGATTATCCTTGATATTCTTGTCTACTTTCTCCTTCATTCTCTTTTTATTCTTCCTCTTCTTCTTCCATTGAACTGAGGAACAGATATAAGGAGTTTAAAATTCCTTCTCTTTCCTCTCTCCTCTTCCCTCTCTACTTTCCGTTCGTCTCTCCTTCCCGTTCCTCTCTCCTTTTTGTTCCTCTCTTCTTTTTGTTCCTCTCTCCATTTTGTTCCTCACTCCATTTTGTTCCTCTCTCCTTTTCGTTCCTTTCTCCTTCCCGTTCCTCTCACCTTCCCATCATGTTTATCAAAAGATGTATACCAACACCAAGAATTGTCAGGTGAACTAATTCTTTCTTCCTCTTCCCTTCGTCCTGACGTCTTCCACCGATGGTTCTTCACACACACACACCTACCCATGGCTCCCTGCTGCGTCTTGTGTGTGTGTGTTTCTCTCACCTGCTGCATCGTGTGTCTCATCTCCCCCTGCTCCTTCGGGTTGGTCCTCCTCCTACTGTAGAAGGATGACATGGAGAAGAAGAAGCGGGGTTTCTTCTCGTGGTTGGGCATGAAGGATCCCTTTCAGTACAACGAGGATGTCATCCCTCAGGAACCAACGTACTTCACCACGGGTTTCACCAGATCCATGACGGAACAGTAAGTCTTATGTTGCGTTGTTGGGGAGGTGTGTGTGTGTGTTTGGTGTCGTGATTATGAGCTTGTGTTCTTTTGTTGTGTGTTTGTGTGTTGTGTTTGTGATATTTCAGGTGAACTTTTTGATGTTTTGTAAATGTGTAAATAGCAACGATGTTTTTTTTTACCCTTAGCCAAAGTTTACTCTCAATAGTCTGTAATTATTCCTTCACTATTTCTTCGGTGTTAGGTGACTTTCGAAGCTCCATGATGAAGAATTGTTTTGTTTTTTATTAGTCTTCAAGATAAAGCTTAATGGACTTAATGGTATTATATAAATCAAATATATCATGTATTCTATGTACATGGATATCCTATGCATATGGATGTCCTATGTATATGGATGTCCTGTGTATATGGATGTCCTATGTATATGGATGTCCTGTGTATATGGATGTCCTATGTATATGGATGTCCTATGTATATGGATGTCCTGTGTATATGGTACCAGTTTATTTGTTTATATAGAGAGAAAGAGTAAAATGGGACTGAAGGTGAGGTAATGTAGTGTTATTTGTACAGTTTTTCCTGGTAGAAGTCTTGTTAATGATGCTCGCTAACTAGATGACTTATTGTTTATTGAAATAAGACTTCACCCCATTAGATCAGGGTCACGGGGTGTGTTTGTGTGTCAGGTCACGTAAACGATATTTTCCAGGGTGATTTTAAATGTGTTGACTTAATTACGTTTGTTGTGTTAAATTGTTGTTATGACTCGTTATATATTATGTAGATAACACCCAGACACTTATAACATAGGGACCTCAAACAAACGCACATTGTACAAGCACATAACATTCAGATTCATATGCACACGTCACACGAGCACACACACACACACACACACACACACACATACATTCGCTTAAGTTTCCTCTCTCATCTAAACCAAGGGGGGTGGTGGTGGTGGTTGTTGTTGATCATCTGTTGGACTCGGGACCAGAATTCCTTCTTCGATGTAAAGATGAAACTGAGTGAAAGGGTTTGTATAGTTTTGTCAAAGTGTAATAAAACAAGACAAAGAAAGAATAATTAAGATTACGATTTTGAATTTAGTATTCATTGATTGATTTTTTTATATTTTTATTTTTTAACGCTTTTGAGATTGTCCTCATTTCGAAATCTATTTAGTTACGTCTGAATGTCGCTGCATTTTCGTGAAAACTTCTTTAATATTTTATTCATTTGATACTCATTTTTGTGATCTTTGAATGTCATGATATTTTTTGCATTTGTAAACTGATAAAAAATTTCATGTAAATGTTTCGGAGGTGGGCGTTACTGTTGTGCGTTGGTGGTGTTGTGTGAGGGAGTGTTGGTGGTGTTGCGTGAGGGAGTGTTGTTGGTGCTGTGTGATGGAGTGTTGGTGGTGCTGTGTGAGGGAGTGTTGGTGGTGTTGCGTGAGGGAGTGTTGGTGGTGTTGCGTGAGGGAGTGTTGTTGGTGCTGTGTGATGGAGTGTTGGTGGTGGAGTGTGAGGGAGTGTTGGTGGTGTTGTATGAGGGTGTTGGTGTTGTGTGGGAGTGTTGGTGGTGTTGTGTGTGTTGTTGGTGGTGTGTGAGAGTGTTGGTGGTGGTGTTATGTGAGTGTGTTGGTGTTGTGTGAGGAGTGTTGGTGGTGGAGTGTGAGGGAGTGTTGGTGGTGTTGTATGAGAGTGTTGGTGTTGTGTGAGGTTGGTGGTGTTGTGTGAGTGTTGTTGGTGGTGTGTGAGAGTGTGGTGGTGGTGTTATGTGAGGGAGTGGTGTTGGTGTTGTGTGAGGGAGTGTTGGTGGTGGAGTGTGAGGGAGACGCTGGACTTGCCTCGTAACCTCCAACCTTTCCCTGCCTTCATTATCATCATTTATTCAGTGGCTGGTCCGCTCCCCCGACCTGCCTCTCCAGAGTACCTGTGACCTGCCCCTCCAGAGTACCTGTGACCTGCCCCTCCAGAGTACCTGTGACCTGCCCCTCCAGGGTACCTGTGACCTGCCCCTCCAGGGTACCTGTGACCTGCCCCTCCAGGGTACCTGTGACCTGTTCCTCCAGAGTACCTGTGACCTGCCCCTCCAGAGTACCTGTGACCTGCTCCTCCAAAGTACCTGTGACCTGTCCCTCCAGAGTACCTGTGACCTGCCCCTCCAGAGTACCTGTAACCTGCCCCTCCCCTCACCAGACAACCTGCAACCACTTCTTCACTCTTCTTCATGTGACCACAACACACACACACACACACAAGTTGATATTTTTTTAATTGACAAGTATGAGTTACTCTGCATTGATTACTGTTAAATGCGGCAACTTCTTTTGGAAATTAGATGCCCCTGTATATCCTTGGGGTGGCTTGTGGGTAGGACGGCGGTAGGTTGTCAGGGAGAGTAACACTGAACACACCATAGGTCGCATCTGGAGGACATTCCCTGCTTCCGTCTGGTGTACACGCCGTCGGGGTCCAAGGGTGAGCTGACGGGCTTCCACAAGACCCTGGCCGAGAAAGGGTAGGACACCTGGTCGTTAACAGCACCACTGCCAGGGTCACCATCAGTTACCTTGCCTTACCTACCAAACTTAACTTACCTTGTTTGCTCACATGCCCACCCACTCACCCACCTACCGTGTTCCTGAGGGGCAGAGTCTCAAAGGTTCCACGCATTTCACCTAACTGGGATGATAGAACACGTCACTGGTCATGGTAGAGGTTCAGTGCAGTGTTATCATCGTGGTTCCGCTTTGCTTGTGTCGTAGCGCTTAAGTTACCCAGTTTGACGAGACTTACGTCTCCAGTTAGGGATTGAAAATTGACGAGCAGATCTATTTGAGAGTCAGGCCCATGGAGGTAAGGACGTTGATGGTGAACTGGCGACCCCACACGGTAGAACAGCCAAAACCCAACAACCACGTAAACTTAAATTTGATGTTGCGACACTTGGATGTTTGGTTGAGGACCAGTGTGGAAGTGAAGTCCATGGTATCCAACACCCAACCAACATCATGAGAATGTTGGATAAACCCCTATGGCTGTTAGCACTCCTACAACATCGTTATCACCACGACACATCACGTAGTTGGATGTTAATGACACTTTACTGGCATTCGAGGTCTATGTTGACTAGATAAAAGGGGGAGGAGAGCCCAATCTTAACCCCCCTCTCCACTTAACACTTTACACCAGCCTTAGCAAGTAGTTATTCGATGTGATTTTTTAAAGTGCCTGTGCGAATATTTGGTTTATATTTTTTAAGTTTCTGTATGATATTTGTGACCACAGTGTTACCTTTTTTTGTCCACCAATTGTTACTTTCCATCTTGTTTATTCAGGAGTATAATGTAGCCCATTTTTCTTACAGCTATAGGTAGTTTGTGAAGGACAGGTAACAGGTGATCAAACTTACCTGTGCTGCGACAATTTCAAAATAAACATTGTTCGTGCGTGGAATGTGGGTGTAATGGGGGAGGAAGGGGGGTGGCCAACTCGAGAGGGGGAGAGAAGGAGGAAGGGGTGGTGGCTGACTTAGGAAGTATGAAGTACAAGGTGGTGTAGTGTGAAGGATATGATAGAGAGGGTGCTGGGTGTCTCCTTCAAGAGTTGCTCCTGGTGGGGTTACTATACTTGAAGGTGTCAGAAGAGGGAGTAAGTGAAGTGTAGATGAAGTGTTCAGTGTAGTTGAGGTGTACAGTGTAGTTGAGATGTACAGGGTAGATGAAGTGTACAGTGTAGCGCCTTGTGTTGATACGATAATGTTACTCCCCCCCCCCCTTCCTCACCTGGCGTGATGTAATGTCCAATCCAATTACCATGAATTACTTATTGGTCAAATACAGCTGTGAACACTCTCTCTCTCTCTTTCTCACACACACACACACACACACACTTTCCCGTGCCATTAGCGAGTTACCTCACTCCCCAGTAACATGTTGTCAGGTAGCACGGAACAAACTACTGTATCACAAGCGAGTAATATTCAACCTTATATTATTCACCGGACATCAACCATAACCTAACGTAAGAACCACAACTGCACCTAAACGCGTTGTGGTGGTCGCGTTTGATGGTGCAGGCGTTCGCTAATCGTGTGTTGTTAAAGTCGCTGCTGATCAGATGTTGCGGTAATTCTAGTAACTGACTGAATCAAGATGGTAATTTTGGTTCTTCCTTGGGTGGGGTGGGGAGAGTTTTAGGCTGTTGGGGAGGTGGGGAGTGAGAGGAGATGTCTGGGGAGTGAGAGGAGGTGTCTGGGGAGTGAGAGGAGGGATGGGGAGTGAGAGGGGGTGTCTGGGGGTGGAGAGTGAGAGAGGGTGTCAGGGGGTGGAGAGTGAGAGAGGGTGTCTGGGGATGGAGTGTGAGAGGGTTTGTCGGGGGTTGGGGTGGATGGGATGACCTCCAGCACGCAATTCTTTTCACCCGGATTTAGTGTCCACCTTATCCGCTTATGTCTGGGTTATGAATCAGGGTCGTCTTCCTCATTTTTTTTTATTATTATTGAATTAAGTTTTATGTTGACGTGTGGTTGACATGGACAGTTGTTTTAGTTGTTGTAAGTTGTGTGTCATTCGTTGTGTACGCTGTCAAACTGGGGAGGTGGAGGTTCGACATTTTTCATCAAGTGACGTTTTTGGGGTTTTCCGTCCGTCCGTTCGTTTTTTATAAGTTCTCTGTTTTAAGAATTAAAGGCAAGCTGTAATGACCTTAACCAGATTTAAGTATTATTTTTACATATACGTGAATGGTTATGGTAGCGAGAGTACAATGGATCGATGGCTGACTGCTGTAACGAAGGACGCCGTTCAGAAACACATGGAGTAATGTTGATGTCTGAAGAGCTCACAAGGGGAGGTAAACAAGGTTAATGTATGAGCCGCTTTGAATAATCTCCTGCATGCTTGGGTTGATAAGAGCTGTTATTAAGTTAATCTGGGGCTGAGAGGGAGGGGGGGGGGTGGCTGCAGCAGGTTAGACACGCAGGGGGATATGGCCGTGTCCTTGACTTGAATCTGTTGCCCATCCTCCACTCTGTCTATTCTATAACATTACTAGTCATTGACACAAGTAATTGTTAAAATTTAAACTTTTTGTCCACAGATAATCAGTTAGCATGTCCAGGAATACCCATATCTAGATTTTGAGCAAAAATAATTCTTCGACCCAAAATCACTTTTTTGTTTCAAAATTGTAAATTGATAGCCGTGAAGTGAGTGTGTGTGTGTGTGTTGCGTGTGGCGTCATGTTAAGTAGGGTTGAGGTGAGGTTTGTTTAGTCTCCTCTACACAGGTTGTAATATATCACTTGTAGTTTTGTTTACTAAAAGTCTTCATTGAGACTAAGCAATTTCTTTACTTTATTGTTTCAGATTTAACATGTTTTTGCAACTTTATGTATAACACCTGCATTAATGAACTATGAAGAAAATATATAAATAATGAGATGCGTATTTACGTGTGCTTACGATTTTTTCATTAATTATAAATGTTTCAAGAGTGAATTTTGTCTTGTTTTCTGCAGTCATAAATGGCCTTTCTTTACATGAGGTTGTCTTCATATGTGGACAGAAGAAAACATACAACAATAACTATACAGATGACTAATATATCTTCGTGTTTCATGTTTTGTCATCTGGTACAGTAATCGTCCATCAGCCAGAGAGTCCAATTGGCAAGTATACAGATAAACAATCCCGACAGTACTTATTCAAAGACACAACGATCCTACATCATTAAATGCCGCTTAAAAGCCAAATTACCCCCCCCCCCCTATCAATTCCTCCCTCTCGTGTGTGTGTATGTCCCACCCTATGAGGTTCCTTTTGATTACACTCTTCCTAAAATATTTGACGATTACTGTCTCCCCCTCTGATTGGCTTTTAAATGACATGTTTTCAAGCTGGGATCAAAGCACAGCGAAGCTAATTTTCTATCTGTCTCTCTCTCTCTCTCTTCATATTTCTCCCTTTCTCTCTCTATCACATCAGATCTGTAAACATTACTCACGCGTCACTGTGTACATACAGGAACAAGACGTCGATCTTTCTCGCATGTCATCTGTACATAATCGTCTCTCAACACATTTCACGTTCATCACAATGTGTACATACCACATAACATGAACGTGTACATAGACATACCTCAGCTCTTTGAGTTTTTATCTGTAGAAACCTGTCAACACAACCATCACCTAGTCATCGTGTATATACAAAGCAGTTTTATCACCCGCATTTTAAGATACTACAGTATTCAAGAACTCTGTGATAGTGATGGAGCAATAGAAATCCTCGATAATGAAGGTACCCGCCTCACTCCTCTCCGTCACCTCATTCCCACAACACTGTACTGTATAAATATCATGCTCTTGATCATTATAACCATTCTCCATTGGCCCAGAGGTAGGAGGTGAGGAGTGAGGAGAAGGAATTAGGAGTCATATCAGAATCTGAAACATGGTGAATATATAAATGAACATAAAGGGGCGATGTTAGTGTTTAGTGATACCAGATGGCGCCCAGGTCATGTATGTTTATCTCCTGTGTAATGTATGCATGTTTTGGAAGTGTTCTGAATGTGATCAGTTACGTTCACTTGTTCGTGAATATGTAAAAATATGATGTTTAGTTCTTTGTGTCGCAGTCTTAAGGGAATTATTTGAGTAAGTTGTATGATAGTGTTAGTCTAGTTGTGGTGGTAATAGTGTTAGTAATTGTAGTGGTGATGGTGGTTGTAGTAGTAATGGTAATAGTGGTACTGGAGAAACATTTTTTATAAAGTCAATGATTTTTTCCCAGAAAATTTGAGAGATGAGTTACTGGTATCCGAAGTATATGCGTGAAGGAATTAATGTCTTAAAATCATATTAAAATTTTGACAAATATTTGGAATTTTTCATAGGGAGGGAAGGTCTCATCTACAGTGTACAGAAACCATTATTTGTGTTTTTTACTGTACATAATTACGCCATGTTTAAAATGTGTAGATGAAATGTTTGTAGTGTTGGTGATTAGCGAGGCGTTGTGTGTGTGTTTTTTTTGTTTGTTTTGGTTTTGACATCTTGACATGCTACAGGTTCATCATCAAGGACCGAGAGTCGTTCTTCACGCCGTCCCAGAGGAGCCAGATCGTATGGGAGATTCTTCTGAGGGTGCATTACTCTGACGCTGAGCTAGGTATGTCCCTCGCACCACCCACTTACCCAACACTTCTCCTAGATTCCCATGACAAGTTTTTCACCTTGATTGAGAGTAAGAGAAGACATCTAGAAACGCCATAATTATCCTTTGAGATTCCAGCTTAATTTGATGTGTTCTTTTATTCACACTAATTGAGGGAAAACTGACATGTGAAACTTTGAGATTCTGGGGTAAGGATTGTACAGTACTGTTAACTTGAACATAGATTATATGTGTAGCTACTAGATGTACTGTAACCCGTTTGATATGACCAATTTTTTCCCCTGTAAATAATCCCTTTTTTTCACTCGTCTAGATATGTTTTGACGAGATCTTTGATCGGGTGCAAAGTTTTCCTGCCATTTTGATAAACTCGTCTCCCCTCCTTTCATCTACTGGGAAGACTTGTATTTTTTTTCCTGTACGCATTTTGAAATCTAATTTATTTGAATACCTTTTTTATAATCATATATTTTTTTATGAAGTCGTAATCACTTTTCAATTTAGACATTTCATCGGTGGATTTTTTTTATTTATTTATTTTTTTTTTACATTGAAGAGAGATTGTATTTGATTTGTTCTCGCGGTTTTGAACTGTTAGTACTTGACCAGTTCTCAGGAGACCATGACTGTTGTTTCGTGTCATAGTTTAGTGAACATATTAACTTGTTTAGGAAGTCTCGTATAATATTCTTGCCATTTTTATTTTGTGCCTTTAAAGTCAACCAATTAAGTACAGTGATAATTCCGTTAAGAAGAGTTGTCATCATACAGGTTGACAACCCTTTATCCGAAATTCCGAAAACCGAAAAGCTCTAAAAACCGAAAGTTTTTTGTGGGGCGTTTTTTTTTTTTTTTTTTTTTTTTAACAGGGATTATTAGCCCAGCCAGGCACAGATCACTGACCCACATCGGGGCCTGGGGGGCAAAAATGTAATAGTAATAGTAATAATAATTATAATAATAATAATTATTCATAGTAAATAAAATTTTTAATAATTATACACCAAAATAAAATAATAATGATTACAATAATAGCCTAATAATAATAATAATAATAATAATAATAATAATAATAATAATAATAATAAAATATAATAATAAAATTAATAATAATAATAACAATAATACTGTAATAATAAAATAATAATACAGTAAAGAAATACAAGAATGAAAAAAAAGATAAAAAGTGAGAAACACGACCTAGACCTATGAATTATTATTATTATAATTTTTATTATATTTTAGACCCCCAGGCCCCACTGTGGGTCAGTGATCTATGCCCCGGTGGGCTAATACACATATTTAAAAAAAAAAAGAAAAAAAAAACCCTAACCATTCTGAAAACCGAAAAATTCCGAAAACCGAAATGCCTCTGGCCCCAAGGATTTCGGATAAAGGATTGTCAACCTGTACTTGATTTTGAAGTTCCTGTTTTTCAGTGTAATTAATGTTTTGATGGAAATTTGCTTAAATAGTGGATTTAAAGATACATACCGACCAGCGCGGCCGAGCAGAGACGCTAATACGGTTGTCCGAGTGTCTGGGCATATGAAAAAATCTGCTTTAGGGAGAGCTTAAATGCGATTCTGAAGATATTGTCATCACTATCTTTGTGTTTAAGTGGGCCTGATAGTTACAGTCTATGCGAAAAGTTAAGGCACACCGTGGAAAAAAAATAAAAAATCATGGTAAGGCAATAAAAAAATGAAAATAACACTCACCCACCCCTCTTAGTATTTTGTTGTGTTTCCCAGCACCTCTTCCAGTCGTTGTGGAACACTGTCTGCAAGGTTTTGCAGGTGCTGTGGGTTGAAATTGGCCCACAGTTGCTTAATTGCTGTGGTGAGCTTGGGGACGGACGAGCTGTCGAGGTCACAAAGGCGACGTTTCATGAGCCCCCAAAGGTTCTCAATAGGGTTGATGTCGGGGGAATTGCCAGGCCAGTCCTTAAAATATGAAACCTGGCAATCCTCCAACCACTAAGTAAACCAACTTGGCTGTGTGGCAGGGAGCACCGTCCTGCATGAACACGTCGGCGCGTGTTTTCTCAAACGAGTCAGGCAGAACGTCACAGAGAAGCTCGAGGTACACACCCTGGTTAACTTCTTTTTTTTTTTCAAGCACAACCAACTCACCAACACCGTAATAAGTGAAACAACCCCATACCATCACTGAATCAGGATGCTTGACTGTCTTGACGGTGTACCTGGGGTCGAGCGGGTCAGAGTCTGGCCGGCAGTACACCCTATCGTGACCACAACCACTCACTGTAAACATGGCTTCATCACTCCACAGGACGTTCCTCCACTCCTGAAGGGACCAGACACTGTACTTCTTTGCAAAAGTGATCCTCTTCTCCTTCTGGGCAGCAGCAGTCAGCAGAGGCTTACGGTGTGGTCGGGTAGGCGCGATAACCGAGATCGTCATGAAGAAGTTGCTGCACCGACCTTAAGGAGACGTTACCAAGGAGTCCGGGGTTAGCTTGCTTTAATTCCCGTGCCTTGAGCTTAGGGTTAGCATTAACTTGCCTAGCAATCACCTTCCTGGTTCTAGGAGACCTAAGCCGTGGTCGCCCAGACCTGGGTTTAGGGGTAGGCAACTCTTCCTGGCTGTTTGCTTCAAACTCCGAGATGAATTTTTACACTGACCGGCGGCACACACCGGTTAATTCAACAATTTCAGTAACTTTATGATTAGTCTTGTATAAACCAATCACCTGTGCAACATCCTCACGCTTAGTAACTCTCCTGGACATCTTAAAGACCCAGAAATCACACGATAAAGCACTGTAACTCAGGCGTAAAATCACGGCACGTGGCGCTCACATGGGTACAAAAACCTTCCACCCACGCAACCTAAACAAAGACTGAGCGGTTGTTGCTATGTGACAACTGTCGCCTAAGGGTTCCAGATGCCGTTAGAATTGTGACTAAATATTTCTGATCAAAATTTATCCCTATCTTGAGGGTAAAACGATTTGTGCTAAAAGTGATGACTCAACCCAATTTGTGCCTTAATTTTCTGCGCAGACTGTACACTTTCACATCATTAGTTAAGGGGAAAATTAAGGTAGGATCTCAGAATCTGATGTGGTTGGGCGTAGGGCGGATGTCAGTGCGATGGAAGGCAACTAACGTAAACTGACATTTTTCATTAACTTATTTTCACGCTACTAACTGTCTATTGATTTCCAATTGTCTGTTTGTCCACCCCTCTATACTTCGCCCATACTTCCGTGCATATACGTACTTCCGTCCCACCCAAGATTGAGAGCGGGATTTAAATAAGTATTTCGCATAGAACTGGTATTTTGTTGGATTCTCTGAATAGGTGCAAGTTAGATACATCCCTATTAAACCCAAAACCAACTTGAATTTCACAATAAATGTAAATGAATCATTCATCCTCTTAGGTGTCGAGTCTCGTATTGTTAAAGTTTTTATAAATCGCTTGCAGAAAATAAAAGATCACGTGAGATTAGGTTACCCCAGCATTTATTACCCAATGATTAATGCACTAATATAACCAAACCAAACCTAATCATTCCTAAACAAAATAAAACAAGACACCCAATCTAATCTAATCTTACCTTACCTAATTTAACTTCCTTGGGGGGAAAGAAAATCCAAGACAAATTATTCGACACCATTGATCTCGTTAAGATACCATTGCTAGTATTTTGGGCTTGATGGTACATTAATTGTGTCGTTGTGTTCATTACAGATACATTCAAACTCCGGAGTAGGTATTTACAGTTGCATGTTATGTGTTGACGAACCTCTTGTCTTGTCCTCTCTCTCTTAACACTTGCACTTGCTTGTTATTTTCAACTTTTACTTTAGATGTTTAATTTTAAACTAGAATATCCCATCATTCTTTTCTCAAAAATTCGTGTGTTTAATAGTGTTTAAATTTTAGCTCATATTTCAGTATTGCAGTTTTAATTAAAGTTTCGGTACTTGGGTTTTAAATTTGTATTTGTTTTAAAAATGTATATATTTATTTAAATTTAGATTTTATTATTTCACGTTTAACTACAACTTTGATGTTTACAAGTGTCGGAAATTCATATAAAAAAACCTAATGACATTTCAATCCAGCTCGGCTCACTGCAGGACTCACGAACGATCCTCGCCGAGTAGAAAAGTCATCATGTATTTCTTAATTCTCTTTTTATTTATATTTCAGCCATTGAAGTTTTGTGATGGTTACTTATCTCTTCATTATATTCAACTATTATGTAAGGTCATTGTTATGGTAGATTGATTTAATTTTGGAGTGTTTTCTGACTTGATGCATGCGTTTTCTCCTTTAATTTGCAGGACATTGATGTGAATTCGTTATTTTCATATACTTGAGGCACACAACTCATTCCTTCTATACATATATTCTAATTTATTTAAATGCATTTTTTTTTTGGTAATTATCATTTTTGTATGATAATTTTCATGAGAATTGTGGTAATATACTACAGACAGGCAAGGGGGGACCTAGTTAAGCATCTCAGAGGGCACTACTCAGTTGAGTGTCCTTACTTGGAGCTGGCGGACGCCTGCCCCACAAGGGGTCACAGCTCAAGATTGAAGAAGCCGCAAGTCCAGAAAACTGTGAGGGCAAACTTTTTCGGAGTGAGGGTTGTAAACTCTTGGAACAATCTACCAGAGAGTGTTGTGACGGCACCAAGTGTGAGCTCTTTCAAGACAAGACTTGACCAACACTGGAGTGGGTTCAGGTACATTCAGGAGCCGGTGCATGCCCAGTATTTGCCAACAGTGCGTGACAGAGACGTGACCGATCTCCTGGGCGGCTAGCGAGCTGATCCTTTGGTGAAGAAGATAAATGAAGAGGAAAAGTAATCAGAGACGTGAATGATCGCCCAAGCGGCTAACAAGCCGATCAGTGACGAAGAGGATAAAAGTAAAAGTAAAAAGATTTCTTTTTTTTTTTGCGTTGGTAAAACTGTGTCTGTGTGACATTAATTAATATTCACATTGATAAACAGCCTCGGTATTTGGCCTAATAACTAATTGTAATATTACAGAATGAGTGCGTTACATATACAGTAGACCTTACATAAAAAAAATAAATGTATCTTTTAATGTTAACGTTTCGAGTATAAACACTTGTACACGTTTTCTTGACTGCTGTGTATACTGTATTAACATTACCGCATGTTGCCCAAAGAAAAGTATGTTGGGAGGAGTCTGTATAATTATCGTGTGTATTTTCTGATACAGGATACAGAATAAATAAAAAGCATTCTGAAATTGGACATGGAAGGTTGCATTACATCTTTTTTTCTTTTTTTCTTTTTTTACGGGCACAGGTCACTGACCCACATCAGGGTCTGGAGGGCGAATATGTAATAATAATAATAATAATAATGAACCATTAAGAAATAAAAAAATGAAATAAAAAAATGATCAAGAGTGAGAAACAATGGTAAGAGAAACAATTGAGACCCTGCAATTGTGTGTAAATGAGGCAGAAAGTCAGATCAGCAACCTGGGACTTGGTCACAATTTTCGTGATGCCATATGGCAGCAGGGTCTACCATTAGACTATAATTATGCTTCCAATATCTTCCCAGGCGGTAGTACCTCCCTGTTTGGTAACTGCTAATTACCTACTAACCGTATAACACCAGTATAGTGTACAAAGCTTGTTCATTGAAAGTTGTTGAATTTTACCTGGTCTTAAAAGTAAATATTGTACGGTATTATGAAATTTTCCCTGTAAAGTACAGTAAATAATGGAAAGTAGATAATTGGGTGTAAAAGTGTAATCCACAATTTAATAGAGAAAATACTGTAGGCTATACTATGAGTTATTTCATATGTTTTTTTTATTAATATTTTGAGTGATATATTTGTTAATCTCTGTAACCGTGCACTTAATAAAGACAAAACAAATATTGCATGTACTGTAGTGTGCAATTAAATATTTATCTCTTAAATATTTTATATGGAAGCACTGTAAGTACGACTTCATTAAAGGCTGCATGTATATATTCTGCATACTGTACTGTATTTATATATTTATAGATGAGTTCGGATCACCTGAAGATTCACCCATCCCCCCACCCATAACTTATTTCACCTTAAGGTTATAGTAACCACCTTAATTACTGCTAACCAAACCCAACCCGACCCGACCACACCACGTAGTGTTTTAGTGTTTGGGTGTTTAATAAGTATTACTGTTATTGTATTATTTTTTTTTGTGGGGAGGGGGGGGGGGAATCTTCAGGTGAATGATTTATTCCTACCGGACACATTTTCATTTATTGGCAGAATTTTTTTATAAATTATAAATGTTTTAAATCCCTTAAACGACAGGAAAATTCTTTGGGTGGGAATGTTGGTTCTCTTGGCCTTGGTAAGTGCTCAAGTGTGAAGCTTATAGCTAGCATTTTCTGCAACTTTTTTTATTGTCATTTGAAGCTTTGAAGGTTTTGGATACTGTATTATGGTTTTGATTAATTTAGCTTTGGGATATATTTGCCTCATTTGATTTCCTCTTTTCTCTCATCACGGAAAAGTACTCGTTCCATCAAGTGTGTACAATCAGACAAAAGTCGTGTTGCTGTTTTGTCCGAAGATTAAATATAACTCGTGAAACATTATGAGAGCCCTCTACCACGGCAGAGCGCACCAAAAGTTCAGCTCTTTGGCATATGTTTTCACCAAATTTCACGACACGACTTTTGTCTTTCATTGTACACGTTCCCTTGTACGAATTCTGCTTTGATTACCATACTAACTTAAATTATCTTAGACGGTATCATTAAGAAAGTAGTTGATATTAACGATTTGTTATTTATGTCAGTGTTGTATAAATCTGAAATATTATATTATCATCGCTAGCACAGTGGTCCCTCGGTTAACGAGCACAATCTGTTCTAGAAGGTTGCTCGTTAACCGAAACCATTGTTTCAATGGTTTTTTGGGTAATTGGTTCCAGCTCACCGAAAATTGCCTAAATTCAACAAAAAAGGTAGAAAAGTACACTTACTTTGAGGTGTGTATGTAGAAGGCTCCTGGATGATGATGATGATGATGATGATGATGATGATGATGATGATGGGAATTAGAATGGGGGTGAAGGAGAAGGGAGAAGAGAAGGCATTGGGGTGGAAGAGAAGTCACCCCATGGTACCATTTCACCCATAAAATTTTAGTTCTCTTGGTGTAATTCAAGATTATTTTCTTTAAATCAACACTGCACTGCATTATATATTGTCAATATGTAAAATAAATTTCAAAATGACCAAAAATTTGCTTGCAAACACAGAAAAAAAGCATTTAGTTGAAGAGAGTCTCAAGCAAGATGTTACCTCCACTGAAAAGACACAAAGACTGACGCCTGTATGGTGTGTTGGCAGGCTGGATGGTGCGCCACAAACTAGTGACCCTACCTTCAATTTTGTTCAATAATTGTTAAAATGACTAAAAAATTTAATATTAAACTTTTAAAATTATTGAATAGTATAAACTTCTTGATATTTACTAAAAGGGTAAGGAATATAAGCCCTAGAACCGATTACTGTATTGGCGGACTAATACTACAGCTGGTGGACCGCCAAATGCAAGCAAAAACATGTGGAGGTCGGCTCGTAAGAAACTCGTTAATCGAGGGATTGCTCGTTAACCGAAGTTAAGAATCTTATGGAAGGTAACTCGTTAACCGAAATCTCGTTAACCGAGGCACTCGTTAACTGAGGGACCACTGTATTCACCTTAAGGAGCACTATCAAAATACACACAGCTCTGTAACGACAAAGTAAGGCTAGGAGATGTATGTAAGGGTGACGTAAAACACGAAACTAAGCCCAAATGTAACTGTCAACACCTTGGCGGGCATCTTCCTCCAGGTGTGGGCGTCTCTCGGCTGCTCTCTACGAGCACTTACGAAGCTGCTTTCCCACTCCATGATGGCCGCCACGACAAGGATGGTCCTGATGGTTCTCTGTGTGACCGACGGGTGAGTGTTGCCTCGGTAGTCTTTCTGATGGGTTGATTACAGTACTTGTGTCCAGAAAATTATTCACTGGGGTGTTTTTGATCCATGTGAGTTAATTGTGGTTTTCTTGGCTTAATAGTTTTTTTTCAACTTTCCTGCAGCTGCTGTTCTTAGAGTGGGCGTACTACGGTAACTGGTACAAGAAACAACCTCTGCATGTTATACGGCGGTATTTTGGGGATAAAATGGCTCTCTACTTTGCCTGGCTGGGCTTCTACACGGAAATGCTCATCCCAGCCTCCATCCTCGGTGCCTTCACCTTTCTCTGTGGCCTCTTCATCATGTACTCAGACTTCAACAAGCCCAGGTCAGCTTCACTCCTATTGCATAGTATTCGTATGGTGTTGGACTAATGGCACCCCTGTTTATGTCACCTGATGATTAAACAACCTAACTTAACCTAACATTGACCAAACCTAAAGGTAAATAATATGATATACACCTGTCACCATCGCTTATGTTCCGTTTGTGGAAAATAAACTACATGACACTATTGATTTGTATGGCTATGCAGGTGCACAGTTTAGAGGGGAAAATTTCTCATAAAGACCCCAGGTGACTAATAGTGACTCATAATGACCCCAGGAGATTAAAAGTTACACATAAAGACCCCAGGTGACTTAACAGTTACTTATAATGATCCCAGGAGACAAATACCGGGTAGTTACTCATAATGACCCCAGGTGACTAATAGTTACTTATAATGACCCCAGGTGACTAACAGTTACTTATAATGACCCCAGGTGGCTTAATATATACTTATATTGACGAAGATATTCAGAATACTCACAGATGCTCATAAGAGAGATTACATGTGTATAATAATTTAGATATAGTGTCTAGGTATGTTGTACAAAAATAAATTCAATTTGATTTTGGTTGTTGATTACTTTGAGAAGTTTCTTTTTCAACGTTATTTTGTATGTGAGGAGAAGAGCTATGCTTCCAGTGCCTGGTTTCTTTACTATGCCTCTTCTAACTTCATTTTCTTGTGTAGGAAATGAAATGTCAGTAATCGATGTTCAGGAAACGAATAAAACTTTGAGAGGTGAACCTATGAACCTACAGTATATCCCTTGACTATGGTGACACGACTCCCCTTTACGAGTACAGTGTCATGATTAACTTCTGGGAATAAGTCATTATTTCAAAAGGTTATGAATCATATTTGAAGGTTGAAATTACAATCAAAGGGCCAAGTCATCCTCAAAGGGTTGTCATTGTACTCCGGGGATTGGATCATACTCAATTTGTTAAGGATGTAAACATGACATTTTTTTACTTTACATGGAGTGCCAAGTCTTTAGGTACATTTAGTTGTGCATCAAATTCCCTCGACACTTGGCAATATCTGGTATCTACTTATGGGTCATATTTGTGTGATTATAGCTGGTAATGCTGTTTTCAATTTTATTTATAATTGAATAAGAAGAAAATCTGAGTAAAATTTGAACAGTACATGTTAAATCAAAATTGCCAAAAGTTTTGTGGGTATTTTGTCAACAAATGTTCATATTTACGACAGTATTTGTAGAATTATCCTATGAACAATTGGCATATAAGTGTTATCCTTCTCTTCTAACCTTATACTTTCTCTCACCAGTGAGGAGATATGTACCAACAAGACAGACTCCCTGATTATGTGTCCACTCTGTGACAAACTCTGTGACTTCTGGAAACTTGAAGACTCCTGCCTCAACTCCCGCATCACCTTCCTCTTTGACAACCCTGCCACTGTCTTCTTTTCTATTGCCATGTCCTTCTGGGGTAAGGGTTATGGATCCTTGTTTTTTTTTATCTAGGATATCATATACAGAAAAAAGTTTTGGATTTACATTATAAGAGTTTTGGACTAATTTGATGAACAGTTGTACCCCGCTTAACGCGGTCAATTGAACCCACAGGGTACCGCGTTAAGTGAAAACCGCGTTAAGTGAACAACAGAACATATGGGATTAATTCCAATAGAGACTGGCCCGACCCCCAAACTCCACTTTTTGACAACACACAACTATGTTGTAGTAAAAATATTATCTTAACTTTATGATGGTATGCACACACAATTAATAATTAAGAGAAATATCAATAACATTAGGTTTTTTAACACTTACATTAGTAGAAAAGATGGCTGGGCACACGGGGATGGGGGGTTGGTTCTGAGGCAGAGGGCAGATTATTGGCCCTCACCTGTATCACTTGTATCAATTGTATCACTATCCACCACAGAGGCTTGCAGGGCCTCTTTGTCAAACCCCTCAAAGTCCATATAAGTCCATATCCTCACTATAATTATCACTATCACTGACTTGGGCCGGTTGTGGTGGGTGGCGGGTGAAGAACTCGGTAATGTTTTGATGACTGGGCGACCTTGTGCGCATCGTGCCCGCGCCGCTTCCCGCGTATATGAGTAGATGAACCGCGTTAAGTGAAAGTTCGGTTCTGGCGAGGCACCGCGTATATGAGAAATCGCGTTAAGTGAAACCGCGTTAAGCGGGGTACAACTGTATACCAAACTGGTGATGCAGAAATACAGTATATTTTTGTGCTGATTAGGAAACTGTGGAGGCTAAAATTTGGATACATTGCACCCAATTTGAGAATTAGTCATAGCTGGTATACTGGTTCACATGGTAAATGTAACAAATACAGGCCTGTATAGTTGAGGGCGATGTTCATCATTATTAAGATACTGTTGGAGGGTAAGATACACCTCTTAGTTTAATCAAATTAAATCATATACAGGGCATAAGTGTGTGTGTGTGAGGCAGTGGCGTACCGTGGTTGCACTGATGAGGCATGCAGAACACCACACACATATATCTGTTATCAAGTCAAATATCAATTAGGATATGGCCTTTCTCTAAATAAGGGTTGTCAAGCTTTTATAAACGCCTAATTTTTTAAATTATATCAGAGGCATCTGACAAAGTATCTATTATAAATCATTAAATAATGGGAGCAAAAATACTTACGGCAAAAGAATATTAATCTTTCAGTGTGATCTACAGTAATTTAGAAATAAAATAGTTAAACAAAATGACTAGGCATCATGCACAACGCTGGCCTACTCTGTAAACTTGCCAATGATCTTATTGCTGAATATTTAAATACTAAGTAAATATTTTTATTATATGATCTGATTATTATTTCAAGTAAAACAGAAAACTGATTAACTTTCCCAAGTGAAAAAACCATAACGGAAAGTGGACTGTAGGGTTATTTAGAAATACATAATAATGTGGTCCGCTGACGGTGAGCCACCGCCTCTCGACAGGTGAATGCGGTTTTCGAATTACTTGCATTTGTACCCATTACATTTACAGAAACCTTATTAAATAGCCACTCTTATAGAACAACAACTCTTAGGTAATATAATAACACTGTATAACATAACACTTCATGCTTATTAAGGGAAAACGTATTAAATTTGACTAAAATGGCTCAATTTCCTTATGCTTCAACACCATAAAGTTAATTTTAGCATGTTATGATAGGATGGTTACGTCTATGTGTCCATTGAGGGCATGCAGCTTATCCTTCTGCCTGCATTGAGGGATGCTGAGTCTCCTCAACTTTCCTGAGTGAAAACTGTGAAGATTAAAATTAAATTTGTATTATTGAAGATACTATTTAAATATATATTTTGCTTTCTACTAGGCATGCAATGCATGCCTTGCATTCATTAAGAATACGCCACTGGTGTGAGGTTGTGTGTGTGTGCGCGTGTGTGGGGAGGGGTGGGTGTTTGTGTGTGTGTGTGTGGGGGGGGTAGTTCCATGAATGTTATGTTAAGAGAAATTTCAATTTCTCCCACAACAGCTTTCTATTTGTCCATTACAGGACCCAAAATAATTTATATTTTGTAAATGGTTAGTACTGTACAGTGTTCTTAACTGCTGGCGTATAATTTGGGGCTTTCCTAATGATGAATTTTTTGTAACATATATGAATGATGAAGAAAAGAGTGAGCTTTATATCTCTGTTGGTTGTTTGTACAGTGCGTGCAATACATGGTAAGTTAGCTACGGGAAATTCTTTACTAGCTACGATGTTCTTGGAGCTGTGGAAGCGGAAACAGGCAGTCATTCAGTGGCAGTGGGACCTGGATAACTATGAAGAGGAAGAGGAACTGCGTCCAGAGTTTGAAGAGAAGGTCACCACAACAAGAATTAACCCGGTCACTAATAAGCCCGAGCCATACCTGCCTTTATTGAATCAAATCACCCGCTTAGTGGCTGCTAACTCCTTAGTTCTTTTGATGGTCAGTGGATATGAAGTGTTCTTTTTTACAGTTAGCATGTCAATTTTATTAATTAACAAAAGGTATTTAATATTGGGTAAATGGAAACAAGCATTAAGAATAATAGTGTAGAGGTAGACATAAGAGGTAATTACTATACTGTTCCTAGTGGTAGTAGAGATGAAGATGTAAAAAGAAGAAATTAAATGACCCTTAATAACGAAAATAGGAAACAAATGTGTAAAACCCAAATTCCAAATTATGCAACATGGTAAGACTTATGGGAGGTGTTATTTTCCAGCTGTTTGTAGTGATGGCTGCAGTTTTCAGTGTGATCCTGTATCGCATGGCTGTGATTATAGCCATGTACCAAACCACTTCTGACCTCTTCAGGCGCAATGCCAAGCTTGTCACGTCCATGACTGCTGCTTGCCTCAACCTCATGGTCATCATTATACTCAACTTTGTAAGTTGCTCCTGCCCATTGCTATTTACTTTTAATCAGTACACAGTAACATCAGTCATGGTAATGACATTGGTTTCTTGATGAATTTTAAAATCCATTGTTTGGCATTCTTTGTCATCTACCTAAACTCTGTACTAATACAAATTAAAAATACCCAGCAATATACTGCACTGTACTAAAAATATTCTTACATTCAAAATAATCTTTCTCCTGTTATTTAACTATGATAATACCTGTACTGTACTAACATGTCTTACCCCCACAGTTCTATGAGAAGTTGGTCGTGTGGTTGACAAACCTTGAGGTGCCAAGGACAGAGACAGAGTATGAGGATTCTTTCACCCTCAAGATGTTTCTCTTCCAATTCATCAACTTCTATTCCTCTCTCATCTATATTGCCTTCTTCAAGGTAGATTTCAGAATACCCTGTAGTATATGTATTCAAATCTATTCAAATTGGCAGATAATCAGTGTGGAGCTTCTTTCAAAGACTGCTTTTTCCAATTAGAAGCATATGATTGTGGTTTTGATGGTGTTGAAGTTTTAAATTAAGTTTTGTGCATCCTATCAAAGAATTTTTAAAACTTATTAATTTGTTATGTCTCAGCTTTATTTGTGAATTTGATAACTGTACTTTTCTCAGGGTCGCTTCTTCTATCACCCGGGAGACGCAGATGCACGCACTAATCTGCTGATGAAACTGCGTTATGATATGTGTGACCCAGCTGGTTGTCTCTTTGAATTATGTGTCCAGCTGGCCATCATCATGGTTGGAAAACAGATTTTCAGTAATGTCCTTGAAATCATCTTCCCGTAAGTTGTAGGAATTTTCTTGATTTAAAAAAAAAATTGATTTTTGGGGATTTAATTGTTGTTGATGGGTGATGCAAGGTTGTGTGAAGTAACATGGCTTAACCAGATAGATATTTGGTATTTGTAGTTGGTGGGTAAAACCATAACAGAATATATGGTACAGTACTGTATATAGCAATAAAAATGGATGAATCTGTGTTTGCTCTTGACTCCAGCAAACCATTGCAATAAAGGGAAAAGGCTTGAAAGAGAAAAAAAAGCATATACTGTACTGTACAAGAAGTGATGAGTTATAGTTAGGTATGTATGATGAAGTATTGCTTTTCCTGTCCTGTACAGTGTAATGAAGTGGAAGATATAGAAACGGAAGAGGAAATACAGTATACTGTACTGTACCGGTATATATAATAAAAACTGTGTAGACTTTTATATAGAGTAAAGATAAAATCCATGAAGTACAGTGACCCCTCGTTTAACGAACGCCTCGGTTAACGAACTGCCTTCCATAAGGATCTTCAATTCGGTTAACGAACAAAAATTCAGTTAACGAATTTCTTACGAACCGACCTCAACATGTTTTCGCTTGCACTGACCGGGCAACCAGCTTTAGTATCAGTCCGCCAATACATTAATCGGTTCTAGGGCTTAAATTCCTTACTATTTTAGTAAATATCAAGAAGTTTATACTATTCAATACTTTTAAAAGTTTAATATTCAATTTTTTAGTCATTTTAACAAGTATTGAACATAATTGAAGGTAAAGTGACTAGTTTAATGCGCGGCATCCAGCCTCTTAACACAGCAAACAGGCGTTAGTCTCTCTGTTTTCACTGGAGGTAACATCTTGCTTGAGACTCTCTTCAACTAAATGCTTTTTTTCTGTGTTTCCAAGCAAATTATTGGTCATTTTGAAATATATTTTACATATTGACAATATATAATGCAGTGCAGTGTTGATTTAAAGAAAATAATCTTGAATTACACCAAGAGAGCTAAAATTTTATGGGTGAAATGGCGCCATGGGGTGACTTCCACCCCAATGCCTTCTCTTCTTCCTTCTCCACCCCCATTCTAAATCCCATCATCATCATCATCCAGGAGCCTTCTACATACACACCTCAAAGTAAGTGAACTTTTCTACCATTTTTGTTGAATTTAGGAAATTTTCGGTGAGCTGGACCCAATTACCCAAAACCCATTGAAACAATGGTTTCGGTTAACGAACTTTTCGGTTAACGAACGACCTTCTGGAACGGATTGAGTTCGTTAACCGAGGGGTCACTGTACTGTCCAAGGTGAGAAGACCCTTTTCTTGTGATGTAATGAAATACTGGTACAGTACAAATTATATCTCCAAAACCCCTTTTAAATTTGGCAGTGGTTAAAGTACTGGTCACGGCAAAACAGCCTGGACTGTTTTGCCGGTCCATTATTTATGTTATAAAATTATTGATGTACAATAATAGTATTTATTGTAATATGCATTAAAAACATGACTTATGAGGATATGCACACTTAAGTCTAAATGACATTTTTGGTACAGGTATTTGCACACCTTAGTTTAAATAACATTCTTTCGTATTTGCACACCTTAGTTTAAATAATGTTCTTGGTATATGTACACTTTAGTGTAAATAGCACACCCAGTATTTGCATACTTAGTTAAAAATGTATACAGTAATGACCACCAGAAGATACACAGCCGGGGTGATTAGAAATCAGGTGGTATATGGTTGGGGGAGGGAGGGGACAATCTTTGACACTCTGAGGTCCACTGTTACCTGAGACACCCCTTGGTATAGTACATTTTTTTTCCAGCTGAGAAGAGATGCCCCACCCCCTCCTCAAGAGTTACAGCTGATTGGCTGTTGCAAATCTGTCCAATTTTGTCCTGAAGTAATGATGCATTTCTAAATGAGTTTATTCATAATCGTTGGGATGACAGTTTCAGACGAGAAAGATATTTAGCTAAATTGTAAGAAGATACATACATTCATTATTTCAAACATGAGCATGCAGGTTTATCAGAAATTTTATACGTGAATTAACTGTTAAACTCTGGTAGCAAATTCACGCTTTCGGAGGAAGCATTTAATATATACAGTACTTATTTTTACCCACAATAAGGCATACTGTACTAAGATAAATTACATATCAGTAAAACTACATTATGCAAAAACTAACATTTTAAAAGATCAGAATCACATTGAAATATTACACGGCCCCTGAAAGTTGGTGGATGAGAGGCGGGAAATATGAAATTGCTAGCAGTCATATTTCCCGTCTCTGCTAGGAGATCTCCCCTTTCCTTTCTTTCCCCCATTCCGAGTGTTAACTCCTGCGCATGTTTTTCATTTTATGCTTTTTACCTTACAATAATTTTTAATTTTGTTTTTGCACATTTTGTATTAACGATAGTGTGTGCATGTATTAAAAAAAATTACATATATCAACCTCATTATTGCATTAACAATGGAATGGCAAAATACCCCAAAACAGCCTGTCAGGCCTATTCGTGTAAATTTGCTTGTGTACTTTTTATGTACAGATTGCTCTGAGAAGCACCACAACAATATCCTTTCTGCCAATCTAGGATAAAGTTTATTAATTTTATCTTGCAAACCATATTTGTATTAACCCTTATTCTTTTTATAGAGTTACCAGGGGCCTAGAATATTATCTGTAATATCATCATTCACAACAGACAATTGTAATATTTAATGTACTGTACAGTAGTACCCCGATTAACGCGGTCAATTGAACCCACAGGGTACCGCGGAAAGTGAAATCCGCGTAAATGGAACAACAGAACATATGGGATAAATTCCAATAGAGACTGGCCCGACCCCCAAACTCCACTTTTTGACGACACACAACTATGTTGTAGTAAAAATTTTATCTTAATTTTATGATGGTATGCACAAACAAGTAATATAGAAGAGGTTAGGTTAGGAAAAATAAAGGTTAAGTTAGGAAAAATAAAAGTTAGGTTAGGAAAACTAAAAGTTAGGTGTAACACTTACGTTAGTAGAAGAGATGGGTCAGCATACGGGGATGGAGGCTGGTTCCGAGGCAGAGGGCAGATTACTGGTCCTCAGGTGAATCACCATTACTAGGTGCATCACCATCAGTTACAGTTGTCAGGGCTTCCCTGACAAATCCCTCAAAGTCACGTTCACTGTCACTATCACTATCACAGAACAATGGATGCACGTATACACGGTGTGGCCTGGAGGAATGAAACTGCCGCGGCTAGGTCAAGCGTCGTCTTTCCTCCCTCCCTCCCCGGGTGGACACGTCATATTACTTTAAACCAATTACAGCTAGCAGCAGAGGGGGGGTAGGGATGCATGGCCAGTCACAGTCCGATACGTCATATGACGTCAGTGATAACGCAACAGAGACATGCACTGCGCAACCTTACCGCGCGGCTTGCCCAGGCGGAGGCTGGAGGAGGGAGGAGGCGGGTGGGGCGAATCTAAAAATAGCGTAGAGCCGGACACTCTGCGCGTATATGGGTAGATGAACCGCGGAAAGTGAAAGTTCGGTTCTGGCGAGGCACTGCGTATATGAGAAATCGCGTAAAGTGAAACCGCGTAAAGCTGGGTAATACTGTACATAATTTCAAGGTTGATTCTCTTTTCTTCTAAAACCCCAGTTTCTAGTACAGCATTCCCTTCAAATTTGTGGGGGGTTAGGTTCTCTTTTACCTGTATTGTATATACTGTATGTGTGGGTAGACACACACACACACACACACACACACACACACACACACACACAAAACACATACAAATAAATAATAATGGGAAAATCCTCCCACAAATAATCAAACAAATGTATTAATAATGTTTAATCTACCCTCGAGTCCACTGTGCTTTATTAATAATAAAGCATGGAGTGGACTTGAGGGTAGACATTTTTTTTTATTATTTGTGAGAGGATTTTCCCATTATTATTTATTTGTATGTGTTTTGTGTGTGTCTCTACACACACACACACACACACACACACTACAGGTAAAATAAATTACTGTCTAGAACGAATGGCTCCCTGTCTCGGCCGCAAAAATGCCAGCAACTTTAAAACTTTAGACATTCTTGGGTACATGCAGGGTGTCATCCGCAAATTAAAAATCCGCAAATTTGAAGGGCATGCTGTACATTCAGGAAACTAATTGATGATGTCTACACAGGATAATGCGTGTTTGGTGGAACAAACGGACAGGACACGACAACCAAATGAGTGAAGCATACACACGTTGGGAACAAGACTATGACTTGGCCCCTTACACACGCCTCTCTCTCTTTAATGAGTACCTCGAAATGGGTAAACTGATTTTCATTGGCCAATACTTTTGCTTCACTTAATTTTGTATCTATTATACATCATGATAATTTGTATCGTTGTGTTGTTTAGAATCGAGAATTTTGGGAGAAAATTTAATATTTAACATGTAAATTGTTTTAGACTAATCAGTTACAAAATTTTTCATTATACCTGTACAACAAAGGAAACACTGCCACAAACTCCCCTGGCTCTGGCACATACAGTATAACATACTTCCATACTGAGGTACTACTAGTATAGTACACAAACACTCTCAAACTCACTTTCCACCCAGTTAAATTCCCTTCATCTGCTTCCAGTTGTCTCAATATCACTCTAATTTTCATGGCAATTTTCTCAAATCTACTTCTCATTTTTTCACATTACCTTGGCATTTCATCATTTACATTTTCTCTCTGCAACTCAAATCAGAAAGTTAATTTCAGTAATACTGTTTGCTTCTAGGGGGAATCTGGCCCTAAAATCACCATCCACTCATGGACACACTCTGATGGGGATGAAGTAAAACTTCTTTGCCCATTAAACAAGCTATAATCAACTCCTTTCACAAGATGTCTGACAGTAACAAAAAGGAAACTATTACAATACAAAAATAACATAAAACCGAACATAAAATGAATGTTCCTAACAATGAAAACTATATCACACTCTCCTTCACAAATGCTGTCACAGGCACAGTTAACAAGCCCTTCTTGAGAGAAAACATGCGAACTTGCTAAAAAAACCTCTTGATGTATATCATACCTGTTCTACTTCCTGCTGTCATATTGTTGTGCTGTATACATCATTATTTATATATAGGTATAAATAATCACAGCTTAATCATGAATTACTTCCTGACTAATACCTCTCATTAATAATGTATTAACTTGCTTGAAAGATACCTAATACTGTAACTGGAACTTTTATGTGAACACACTAACCTGACATTACCTTTTACAGTAATCCAGTATGGGTTTGTGACATTATTTGTGGCAGCGTTCCCTTTGGCACCAATTTTTGCCTTGCTAAACAATATTGTGGAGATCCGTCTTGATGCATACAAGTACCTGACAAAGTGCCGTAGACCTCGGTCAGAGAGGATCCAAGACATCGGTATCTGGTTTGGTATCCTGAAGGGCATCACGTACTTCTCTGTATTTACTAATGTGAGTCTCCATTTTTTAATGACTAAAATTGACTGAATTATGATGTTCTTTGAAGATGATTGGTGTTTACCTTCTTCATGGTGGTATGTGATGCTTCCATATCAAGGTTTATGTTACTAATTCCTCTTTTACTGCTGGCATTATTTTTCTCAAACTCTGATTTAGGCAATTTAATTTTGGCTTTCAATACATTATTGAATTATGGGACGAAATGGTTACTTTCTTAGTGAAAAATAAATACCCCGTAAGTAGAATAACTGGCTTAAAGGCCACCTGGGGGAGACTATTAGTTGTAGAATTTTCAATTGACATACAATAGTACAGTACATCTGTAATAACATGTTTAGTTAACAAACTTTGTAACTCCAAAATCTTGCATTAGAACCTTAAACTTAAGATACACAGAACTGTACTGTGACATTCTTGACATGACTGAGAGCCACTAAGGGGAAGATAAGGAATTCAGAATATTATAAAATTTAGGGGAGGTTTTCATTCAGTTCATATAAATTACCTTACATTTAAATATTGTTTTCCTTTACAGGCATTGGTTATTTCATACACAAGTGACTTTATTCCTCGGCTCGTCTATATGTATGGCTACTCACCTGGGCGGAACACACTTGAGGGTTATATAGAAAATACTCTCTCAGGTATGCTCACTTATAAACTCTGGACATTTAACCCTCTGGTACCCCTGGCCATAGTTGGAAATATCACCCCCTCACAGTCATTCGATGCAGGTTGCGTTGGTAACAAGAATGGTTTTCCATTTAATAAACATTGGGTAGAGCAATCCAAACCCAAATTTTACCCTTTGAAATTAATCTGCCAGCCCACAAGGCTAGTGGAAGGAGTTTAAGTGGTTGATAGGGGCGGTCCACTGTTCTCGCGTTTCTGCTTACGGGACGGGTGCTCTCAGCGTGAGATATGGCTGAGTGGGAGGGGTTGTGTCAGCACAGGAGTGCTTAGTGATGCAATTTGCATCAAAAGACCACAAGGGAGTTAATCAATTAATTATCAAGAGTTATTTATCAGTCAGGATAAGGTGGCCTAGTAGATTAAGTTATGAATAGCAATATTGAACACTCAGTCAGACTATACCTTTTCCACGCTTACCTGGTCCATAGTCCCCACCCCCCCGTCTATAGCTACAAATAGCCAATTGGTTCCCCGTAGCATTTACCCCCCCCCCCCGGACTGTGCGTGTATAAGTGCGTATTTATATCGACCTTTTATGGTAAATATTTAAAATTTTCTAACATCCTCTCTGAAGTGCTAATGGCTTGAAATCATTTGCCTTTTGATAGTCCAGATATTTAACATTATTTTAGTTAATAACAGGTCTGCTTACCAATTGTGAACACATTTAGTTTTAATTTTTTATGAACCAATCAGCTATTAATATGGAAGAGGTGTGTGGCTTATGGGCCAGGTTAGTGTGGAAATGCAGTACTATAGTTACCACCCTTAGGTCTGAAAGTTAGCAGTCACAGCCCATCACTCCAAGCATTTACACACCGTCTTCATCAATCCTCCAACATTTTGTATCTCTGGGACACGACTTTTAGTGTCATTCGTCCATCCAAGTTTCTGCCATTCCTGTCCCACCTATATGTGCATCTGTGTCAGTTGTATTTTTATTTATTTTTTCCATTAGAACTGTACAACATAAATTTAATATTCTCTTATAGCACCACATTTGAAATGACTCCAGCCACCTCCTGGTATTTGCTGAAAATACACTATCTTTATTTTGATGCTGACTATACTGTATGTAGCATTTGATCAGCTATATTTTCAAAGCAAAATTAATGTCACCTTTTAACAATTTTTTAAGATTATAAATACTGGTTTATAATTTTGTTTTAATAACTCTCACATCTACTATCACAGTCGTTTTACTTCCCAAATACACAATTCTTTTTAACTGTTTAAGAATGCTGTTGCTTACCATAATTTGTATTATTTTATTTATTTTTTTCACAGAAACCACCATTATTTTTGTCTTTTATGTAACAATGACATAGCAGGGATAGGACACACTTGTAATTATCTCTCCTATATTTACTCTAGAAATCACCCGAGGAAGGAAAGGCTGGGACCTAGATCAGACATAACTAGTCATTATACATTTTACATACAAAACATGCATCAACTGTTGTCATAATCACATATCGGCACAATACATTAGTAGGAACTATTCAGTATATAACAATAAGCCTGACCCACCAGCATAACAAGGGGCGGACTCTCGGTGCCGATTCCTTCAGGGGTGGCGGGGGATGAATGTCTGTAGAGCAATGCGTTTATTAGCCTTATTCTGGCTTACAAACTACCACCACGTGTTCGTCACATTCTTCATATAACACTCATTATTTATGCTCATCCTATCAAACATACTTCATAGAGCTAAAAATACTTGGTGCACACCTGTTGCTGGGCCCTGCTATCTCGCTTTCTCGAAACGTAAACAAACTGCGGCGTCTTTTCCCAAGGCCGGGCTGCATTTGCTGGTTGCAAACCCCATTTCGAATCCACAAAATTACTTTTTTTTTCCTCCTCGGGACTTACAAAAATACATATCGATATTAAAAAATAATCTAAACACCAAATAGTTGTCTCTGGAGTTCCCCATACCACATTTATATCATTATGTCAAATACTGGGACATTACTCTGACTCTCAGTCTGGGTTACACCTTACATTCTGCACTATTGTAACTCTTGTAGAATAAATGATGCCTTGTTTCAGTTAACCTAACTTTTTGAATGGTGCTGAAGATTATATTTTGTTTAAACATCAGACCTGCACCTGGTGTTTGTATTCTTCAGTTCAGTTTTGTAGTTTTAAATAAGTCAATTCCAATTACTGTATTAATAGCTTTTATTATAAAATATATAAGCCCTGTAATTATTCCTCTAGTGTTCAACACCTCTGAGTATACTGATGAAATGGGGCCAGAAAACCGCACCGGCTGGCCAGAAACATGCCGCTACAGAGCTTACCGTAATGGTCCAAATGACGAAAACCCGTATGGCTTCAACCAGCAGTTTTGGCATGTATTCACTGCACGTCTGGCCTTCATACTAATTTTTGAGGTAATTATTCCAGTTTGCTGTAATATTTGATCATATGGAATGAAGCATACCATATTCATTGCAATCTCTTTAATTGATATAAGTCCTATGCATACTTTTTATTCAGCACTTTTATTCTTCATTTAAAGTGTAGAATGTCAGAATGTTATCAATTCACTTATCTCTGATGTAAATATATATACAGTAGTTCTCACCATACAGTATTTTACCTGCAGCATGTGGTGTTTCTCCTCACTGGGGCAGTAGCAATGGCTATTCCTGATGTACCTGTTGAAGTTAAAAACCAGATGATGAGAGAGAAAAAGGTAGGGAGAATCTTGCTTTTAATAAGATGTGTTTATTTTATAAACTTTTGCTTCGCTCAGGCCATTTACATACTGTATATATAATATTTGAACAACTATTGTGACAGGTATTGAGTGCCTAGAAAGTTTGGAGAAGTTCTTCATTCAAGGAAAAGTGTTAGTGAATAGCTTGAGGTTATTTAATACATCACTCTAATATGTGTCTAATTGATATTTTTCTCAATTTAGGTTGAAAAGGAAACCCTATTTAAAAATGAAATGCAGAAAATGCAACATGAAAGGCATGTCCGTCAGGTGTTGTCGCCTGATGACCACCTCAACATAGATCTCGGAGAAGGCCTTATTACTCGAGCGAGTTCAAGGAACAACAGCCCTACTCCCTCAGCCTTCTTAAGGGACCATAGATCTTAGGATAATGCCTTTAGATCTTAGGCTAATTTCTTTTGTGTTTTATATTGATGTATTTTGATGTTTGTACATTTATAGTATCACCTTGTAAATGATATTAACAAATTTACAATAATTTCTCATGCTTACTTCTTTTTAAACTATGTATGAACATGATGAAATATTGATTTTTTTTTTTACCAGCAACTCGTTTTATGAAATAGGTTTAGATCAATATTTAGATAACCTTATTGTGATTCTCACTGAACATTTGATACATCTTTTGTATAATTAATTACAAAACTTGGTGAGTGTTGAGCTATTTTTATCATTGGTAACAAAGCTTAATATTTGCCTTAGGTGAAGAAAGGCATCAAGCATAAGATGATAAAGGATGTGATATTTGATAAAAATGTAGGTAGTTTTTTGAAACGGTGGATGGTTTTTGAAAGTTGGTAATTTGGGGAATTTTCATATAATTTAGAGGGTAACTGATGATGATAGTACAGTACATGAACACTAACTGCCACACTACGTGGCTTCAACAGTTTAAAAGCTGATAACAAAAACACCAGAATATTTACAAATTCTTACATCCAACACCATTTGGCTTGTACTGTACCTGTATAAACTTGTATCAAGCAAGTGATAGGGAAGCAAAGATACTGTACAGTATACTGTACTATTATTAATAATTTTATTCATAACGTTCTAAAGGAATTTCTGTAGTGTGACTAAAATAGAATACCTGTAGTATAATGTGAATTTTGTTTTGTACAGGGTACTCTACACACAGCCGAATTATGAGGCTATACGGTACTTTAAAACTTAATTAAAGGGAAACCTTTAGAGGAAAAGCATTTGTTCTTAGATTTCACATTTGATACTAATGACATCATCACTCCACAATAAAATCAGGAATTTTCCAAGCTTTGTTTCCACATGCTGTATAAGTGACAAGTGCAGTACAGTACAGTACAGTACAGTACTGCAAAGTTCCCACACAACATATGCCCGAATGGTTAATGACATTTTGATAGAGGGAAAGGAAAGTTTAAAAGCTAATTGTCAAATGCATATTAATAAAAAATACTTAATAATTTTATGTGCCATTTGTTACAGATATTCAGAGTAAAACTGCCAAAATAATGTTACGTAGTAAATTTTAAGTACAGTAATTCATGATTTTATCAGTACTGTACAGGCATCCCCACAGTATGGAATTTTGAAATCATGACCAAAAATTTAGGGTGGGGGGAGGGGATTTTTAACCCCGATTTTTTTCCATATGTAATTGTAAAAATTATTTATTGTGGAATCTCTGTGGTAGCCACAAGGCAGTTGGAAGGCCGCTCACTTCTCCACAACCACACCAATGGTGCTGCTCAGTTAGAATTCTTTTCCCAGCTTGTATTTAGTTATGCATTTTGTGTTCGGGACTGTATTCGCCCTTCTGGAATTATGGTTAATGTATTAAGATTTTCAAAAGAAAATAAAAGGATATAGAACAAAAAATTTCACCAAAATTATTAAATTTAATTTGTGTGGATTCTGGCAGCCACAACAACAATGGCACTGCTCAATGAATTCTTTGTCCAGTTTGTGTTTAAATATGCTTCTGTGTTACTGTGTACCCTTATTCAAGATGAGTAGAAAAAGACCATCAAGTTTAAGTGAAAGCAGTGGTGATAAAAGATCCCATAAACAAATTGCTTTGGACTATAAACTTGATGTTTTAATGAGGTAACTCCCAGTAACTGATTGCACCACCTCACCTCACCACAGGTTGCAGCACTCAACATCATTTCTGGGAAGTAAAATTGGAGTGTTTTGTTCATTTATTATAATGTTACATCATGAATGACTCCCTGTATGTGATTAGAACTGCCCAATTTCATACATATATGTGCTGTGTTATGTTTTTGGGTCTCAAAATTTTACTGTGGGAACGCGCATCTCAACTTATATAATGGAAGCCAGTGGAAAGAACGATTTTGCGTTGCGGAAAGATTTTCAAGAATGGAACCTTTCCGTAACCTGGGGGATGCCTGTACTGTAATGTAAATGTTGCTGAAACAGACTTCTAGTATGAGTTTAGGGTTTGACTGACAGACAGCCTCAGTAGGTCTGTTTGTACTTGTCAAACATTAGTAAGGGAAGGTAATCAACCTTCTTGATTACAGTTGTACCCCGCTTTACGCGGTCAATTGAACCCACAGGGTACCGCGTTAAGTGAAAACCGCATTAAGTGAACAACGGAATATGGGATTAATTCCAATAGAGACTGGCCCGACCCCCAAACTCCACTTTTTGACGACACACAACTATGTTGTAGTAAAAATTTTATCTTAACTTTATGATGGTATGAACAAACAAGTAATATAGAAGAGGTTAGGTTCGGAAAAATAAAGGTTAAGTTAGGAAAAATAAAGGTTAGGTTAGGTAAACTAAGTTAGGTGTAACACTTACGTTAGCGAAGAGATGGGTCGGCATAAGGGGATGGAGGCGGATGGGAGGGAGGGAGGAGGAGGAGGAGGAGGGAGAGGCGAGGCAGGCGGGTGGCGCGAATCTAAAAATAGCGTCTCGAGCCGGACACTCTGCGCGTATATGGGTAGATGAACAGCGTTACGTGAAAGTTCGGTTCTGGCGAGGCACCGCGTATATGAGAAATCGCGTTAAGTGAAACCGCGTAAAGCGGGGTATAACTGTATTAACTAAAAAAAGAGCCGTTTTTTTCTGATCTTACCGTAGTCCAGAATGCGACGTCTAGCTCCTAGGTATGTAAATGCCTAGCATTAACTCACCAGGCCAACATACAGGCAAATACAGGTATAAGCAATAACAAAGCTTATTGATATAAACTGTGATACCTTTTTTATACTTGGACTATATGTTAAAGGTCTTGTGTTGAGGATTAAATCTGAATGATGTCATACCTGGGGCCCAATTCAAGGAATTTTTTGCATCTTTTTTTTTCTTAAGGAATTTTACACTATAACTGCTTGAAGGGAGATTGTTCAAAATCTATTCAAAGTGGGCCTAGAGATGTTTTGTTGTGATAATTTTTTAAACCCTTGAGAGATTTTGATAATATGAACTGTTCATAATACTACTGACTTGATTACTCAACGTGAAGTTCCTTTGTTTTACTGAATATTGGGTGATATCTCTTGGCTGGTCCTAATATACTGTATGAAGGAGTTGGTTTATGGAAATGTATAGTTTGAATGTGAGAATAACAGTCTAAAACTTTTCTGTACATCTGAAAGTGAACATTTCATGAGCGCATAAGTTATCATAAAATCTAGCTACAGTGATCTCATTGAAAATTTTAGGACTTTTTAGTAGTTTAGGTATGAACAATGAATACAACAGAATTCTCTGTCTCTTGAAGCTTTAATGCAAGTACTAATAATTAACAGAGCTGGCAATTTAATAGGATTTTAAACTGTTGAAACCAAGTTGTACTATACAAGTTCACAATTCTAGACTAATTTCCTACTTTTATCTATTTTTATAGCACAACCTTCTGTAGGTTCAGCAGTTGTTTCTTAATTCAAATTCTGTAAGTTTTTAATCTTGGAATTGTAAGTGAAGATGATTATGAGAATTTTTGTCCAGATAAAATAATGTACTGGTAAATTAAAACCATAAAAAATCACTTGAAACCTTGTTGGTCAAATGAATTTATGATCACATTAGGTAATTATTATATGTATAATTAATTGACATGTGCGTGAGCATTCATTATGCATCATAGTTTTTATTATATACTGTACTGTATATAAAAAAATAATTTGTAAATTGAGATACATAAAAAACTTAATTTTAAATTGAGAGCATTAACATCTTCAAACACTTATCATTGTGAAGTAATTTTATTTATTCTAGCTCCATAGTTTTGATTGTTTTCGTAAAGGAACATCTAACTGCACAATAATATGGAGTGTATATAAATATAGTACAGGCAATGAATTTTATACAATGGACCAGACTTGACCAACAATGGAGCAAGTTCAGGTACATTCAGGAACCAGTGCATGCCCAGTACTTGCCAACAGTGCATGACAGAGATGTGACCGATCTCCCAAGCGGCTAACGAACCAATCAGTGGTGAAGAGGATAAAAGTAAGTAAAAGATCAGTTTTACGATGGTCGCTACCCGAATGTTTTTCCTGCATTGTCACTATGTACTATGAAAAAGTGTTGTGCAATATTTAAAGATATCATGATGCAATATCAATGGGAATTATGGTGAAATTGCATGCTGCTCTTATAAAGGGATTGCAGCCCTCCGAGTGGAAGGTGGTTAGTTGTCCTTCCTCCCTCCTCTGCCACCCTCACTGGCTACGCACCCAAATGTAATTTTGTATTTTGATATAATTCACATTTTATTCCTGCAATTCATTCATCTTAATCTCTCTCATAATATATTCCTATAATAATAACAACCAACTTTTTGGAACTGTACTATTAATTCAGATTCATTCCTAATTCAAATTATTTAATACATTTTACAAATTAAGCAGAAATCTGAATCAAAATGATCCAAATTAATGAGGGAACAGAGTAAAAAGTAATTGAAGAAAATTACGTATACAGTGGGGTATGCTATAACGAACGTAATTTGTTCCAGAACCTCGTTCGTTATAGCATTCGTTCGTTATAGCATTCGTTCGTTATAGGATTAATCCGTTCCAGGCCCCCAAATACAACCACTTAACACTGAAAAAATTCTGTGGAAAATGTAAAAAATACGGTACTTTATCTTACCTTAGTGTTGTTCAGCATGCAGGACAGGAGGCAGAGGGGGAGGGGGGAGGGGGGAGGAGAGAATTATGGAGAAGAGGTGGAAGGAGAGGAGTCATCCTTCCTTGCCCTCTTTGGTGACTCTCACAGGCACTTTGTCTGTAGGGTCTTTTGCTACTTTTTTAAAGAAGGAATCCAGGGTTGGCTGCTTCAACCTTGATTTCTGGACCTTCCAAAAGTAGTTCATAACATTGTCATTGAACACACTGATGGCCTTTTGCACAGAACCAACATCAGGATGATAATCCTCAGCAAGCTTGGACAGTTTGCTCCAGCAAAAGAACGCATCCTTGAGATCTTTGGCTGGAATGATGCGGCTTTCCTCCTTGTCCTCCTCCTCCCGACTCCTCAGAAGTTAAGCTCCGCTTCAGTGTCTCGTTTTCCTCTTTGTGAAGCTGAAGCAGCTCCTCAGTGGACAATTCCTTACTGTGCTCTTCCACCAACTCCTCAACATCATCATCATCCACTTTCAGGCCCATGGAATTGCCCAGAGACACAATTTCATGAACAACAGCCTCTTCTTCTAACTCTTTGAAGCCTTCAAAGTCTCTTTGAAGGACACATTCAGGTCACAATGGCCTCCAAACAGCACAAAGACACCTCACAGTAACCTCTTTCCAGCCTGAGGTAATTAAAAATACAGCATCTGCTATATTGAAGTGACTCTTTCAAAATTCCTTCAAGCTAACATCACTGGAAGAAGTGGACGCAAAACATTTTCTAAACAGTGCCTTTGTGTACAACTTCTTAAAGTTAGAAATTACTTGTTGATCCATGGGCTGGAGGAGAGGTGTTGCGTTGGGTGGCAAGAAGTGCACAGTGATGAAGTTGAACTCCTCTGGCAATTCAACCATCAAATTAGGAGGGTGGGCTGGTGCATTGTCCATCACCAACAAAGCTTTCAGTGGAAGATTATTCTCCATGAGGTATTCCCGAACACTGGGTCCAAACACCTCAATCACCCATTCAGAGAATAAATTCCTGGTCACCCAAGCCTTTGGGTTTGACCGCCACATAACACCAAGGCGGGTCTTCCTAGTATGTTTGAAAGCTCTGGGGTTTTCTGCATGGTACACAAGGAGTGGCTTTATTTTGCAGACACCAGAAGCATTAGCACAAAGGAGGGTAAGCCTGTCTTTCATTGGCTTATGGCCAGGGACAGAAGTTTCCTCCTTGGTAATGTATGTACGGCGAGGCATTTTTTTCCAAAAAAGTCCAGTTTCATCACAGTTGAATACCTGCTGAGAAACAAAGCCTCCCTCTTTAATAATATTCAAAAAAATGTCATGGTGTTCCTTAGCTGCTTCCTTATCTGCACTAGTAGCATCACCATGTCTCACAACACTATGTATTTTATTTCTCCTGAAACCAGTAAACCACCCCTTGGTACCCCTAAACACTGGCACATCACTATCACTTGCACTGGGAGCCTTGGCTTGAAGGTCCTCAAACAATGTCTGGCCTTCTCACAAATTATAGCTTCACTAATGCTATCACCTGCCATTTCTTTCTCCTTTATCCACACTAAGAGTAAATTTTCCATCTCCTCAATCACATTACACCTTGCTTTGCTAAGTCTAGAGAGTCCCTTAGCCACTTGCACTGTTTTCAACTCCTCTTTATTCTTTAAAATCGTACATATAGTCGATTTAGCCATCCCATACTCATCACTAAGTTTCGCAATACTTGTTCCATCCTCACGTTTCTTTATGATTTCTTTCTTAGTTTCAAGAGTTATGAGCTTTCTCACTCGCTTTGGACGATTCATTGTCACAATTGTACACTTGTATAACAAAATATTTATACAAATAACTCTATTTCCACATCAAAAGACAAAATTTCAACAATAACAGTGGTACACTGGCTACACAATGAGACAAAGATGGCGCCTGACGCTCTTGTTGTGGGTCGCGGTACAACAATATTCATGCGCCAGGCGAAATAGTCCGGTATTCATCCGCGTTCATTATAGCATTCTCAATTTTATAGGTAAAACCGTTCGTTATAGGAATATTCGTAGTAGGATCCGTTCGTTATAGCATACCCCACTGTATCTACCCAAAAATACGAGTTGAAAAATAACAACACAGCTCGCAGTTGGTGGAAGGTCGAGATACCGCCACTGCATCCCCTCCCACAATTGACAGGAGCTAAGAAATTTTAATTCCTTTGTTTTTGTCCGTATTATAATTATTTCATTTACTGTTTGCACATTCTGTATAAACAATTGTCTGGACATGTAACGGAAAAAAAATAAAATACAGTACATCTAGCCAAAAATACGAGTTAAAATAATAATAACCGAACTCACAGCACGCACTCACTTGGGTTCACTAACAACAACACTCACCACCACCACCACCAACATCATTCACCATCATCACCAACATTCACCATTAACATTCACCAATACCTACCATCACCACACTCACCAACACCTACCATCATCACACTCACCACAACCACCACTACCAACATTGATATGAAACCACTAAAAAGAGCTGCCATCTGCTCGAGTTGGAAATGCAGGTGGGATGCTGTCGGAGCAAACAAGCTCTGTGACATCCACCCTGCATTGGGTGCCTGGGGATATGAGGGACTGTCACACCACTGAGAGACTGCTTTGGCCCGCCTCTGCATTGGCCACACACAGCTGACTTGTGGGTGTTTTTAATAGAGAGGGTGCCCCCTCCCCATTGTGATTTTTAAGTCAAGGATATAATTACCACACTCAATTACCAACACCTCCTCTCTCCCATTGTTGCACACTGTAAACTGCAGACATACAGTAAGAACTGTTTTTATTATCTTTTTTTGATCTTATGATAATCATTTTATTTTTGCACATTCTGTATGAAAAATCATGTGTGCATGTAACAGAGTAAAATGAAATGAATAAAAATACATATATCTACTCAAAATTACGAGGTAAGGCAATGTATTTACGGTGACATCTAACTTGGCGACCTGCCAAGTCCACTTGCACGCACAAATATGTTCATGTAAGGTTAATTACATTATTTTGATTAAATTTATTTATTTTATGTATTTATAAAATATTTGAGTTATTTATACATTATTTATCATTATAGCAGCATGATATAAAACTTGTTTGGGCTCTTCTTGGGGCTCAGGAACGGAACCTATTTTCCCCTCATAATTCATTAATATCCATAGACAATCAGTCACTCCATGATGGGTTTTTGAGGTCCCTAACCCCATCGTATAATGGTCATTGCCTGTACTGTATAATGATACCTGCTGGAAGTGTTTGACTAACAACCAAAACAAAGTGCAGTTTCCTCTTTATTGTATTTCATAAATTGTAATAATAAGTATCTTGCATGCACTTCATTACATGGCTTATGGAATTTTACTGGAGTACTGTGCAGTATACTTAAAATGCAAATATTTCTGCATAGACAGGACAGGACAGGTGGTGGTGTAAACCCGAGGTGGTTATATATCCTATTTCTTGAGGAATAAGCGCATGTAAATTATGACTCAAGATCATTTATATTTCCCACAGTAAAATATCTTCCCTCATATAATAATTCCATGTTATTTTAATACCCTTTTTGTACTGTATATTAAATGTTAATGTGTCAACACTTTTTTTTTTTAAATCATTGTTGTAATTTCATTAATGCCTGCAACACTGATATTTATATTCACAAATAAATGTGATTTTTGGCTTTGATGGTTCATGGTAGGTCATTGCATTAATCTGTGATGCATATCTCCTTTATATGTTTATGATAATACTGTAATACAGTACAGTTATGATTATATGTGAGAGTGAGATGCATGTGGATGTGATGTACTGTATATGTGCCAAGTTTCTGGTACATAGAGGAGATTCAGTGGTTTGCCTGAGCAACACACATTGTTGTATAGCAGGAGGACCTTATGTCATAAACTCTAAAGAAGAAATGCTATAAAAAATTTTGAATAAATTATTTTGTTGTTGTCCAACATGTGTTCGACATAGATTGCATCTATGTTTAATGGTCATGGGGCTAAAGTTTCACATTAGTCTTGAACTCACAGACTTCCTTATGTGAGTGTAGTGAGTTTATTGCAATAAGACAAATGTAAACTCATATCAAGGCAAATAGGGGAAAAAAAAAAGCACAGGAATACAGGGTTCTAACCAGAGCTTGTATTTGTCTTTATAGATATGTACCTGTTCTGTATTGTGTATGTTAGAGGTCGGTATGCTATAGGTATGTGGGATACAATTATTTTCTATTATTATAGTGTTGGTACACAGTACCCCACATAAAGTAGTACCATTCAAAAAAAAAAAGAAAACTACCTGTACTATCTTTAATTTAGTAAAACTACGAGTACCACTGTATGTTAATTGAAATTTATTTTTCCATGAACTCCTATGTTATAAGCTGACACATGTCAAAATAAATATACAGGTAGTTCTTGTTTATCTCGAGGGTTTCATTCCTGAAAATTCTATTACAACATGAAACTGCAACAGGCAAAGCTAATTTTTCCCCATAAGAAACAATGTACAGTACAAGGAGGTATGCATTCTTGGCCAGGAACATTGTGGTAATTGGGCTGATTCTTAATGCAAATACCCTGTACCTATAAATTGATAACCATGAAATACAGTATGAAATGGAATTGAAATGCTTGTGCATGTTCTTTTTCTCATAGCCGTTCAACAACAGACCAACGACCTACAACCTACACCCACTTCTACCACTGTCATGACATTAAAACAATTGGCATGTAAAAATATGTAAAATCATTATGCAAGATGTGATAATTGACTCATTGAGAGGCACATAGCAGATTGCCATTGTCTTCTACACTGCCTAGTGGAGGACATGCAATAGAGTTGCATTTGAAAATGCAACTTGAATTTTTTTCATGAAAGCATAGAAGAAAAATATTGCAAAAATGAAAATTTTTGGTGATAATTAAATTGCGATAAATTGAAAATGTGATGTACAAATTTGCTATTAATGGGGACTACCTGTGTTCACTTCCTGTATTAATAGTTCAATGTTTTAATTCATGCATCTACTAAATCACTAAAAGTAAATTTTTATATCAAAATAACCCCCAAATTTACGTTTTTTCCAACAAATATAATCCTAAGGTTAATCCCATTGGTATTTCTGACATTTTAAGGTAAATTTATGTTGTACAGGGTATTTGAAATCTCAGCAAAGCTACTGCAGAACATATTGATCAAGGACATGGGATAAAAAAAGTTGTTTATTTAAAAATTACTTGTACTGACTTAGGAATAATTCATTTGTTTTGTGACCCCAATTATTTGCCACCTGTTCTACTGATGTACTAAAGTATCCAAACTTCAAAAAATTAAAAATATGATTATTAATTCTGCTAATGTCTTGAAATAATTTTGTTTTCATTAACAATACACATAGCAATGAATTTCAAACTTCACGATCAAAATTATTACTGGCATACTGTATTTAGAAGAAGAAAATTTATAAGTTAAATACTGTACGTATCTGCATATGAATTTTATGGAGAATGAAAGGTGTGGTGGAAGGCTTTGATCTGATCTGTTGTACTTGATAGTGAGGGTCTAGAACCTGTGAGCATTAGCCCCTGACCTTGTGTATAATTTAAGAAGGATTATTGTCCAGTTAAAATGATACCCCTATTTTTTTTTCCAAACTATTTACTGTGAATGATGTGCAAATAGTTGTGTCCTTTTTTCCAAAGTTAAAGAATAACAGTTAGTTTGAATAGAATTGTTACAAATACTGAGGTTACAGTATATCATTTGTAAAACAATTGGATTATGATTTATAGTACAAAATACTTTTATATAATAGGTTAAAAGCCTTTCAGTATCCCTGATATGGCCAAATGGTAATTAGTGAAGGTCTTTTACTAACTGTTGAAAGCAATTACAATTCACTCTTGTATCTGTAATGTCACTACAGCTGTACAAATTAAAATAATTATGAAATGATATACAGTACATTGTATCTCTTGCCCTTCAAATGTTTGAGATGTGACTGTCTGAAATGTTGGGCATGCATAGGTAACATCAAAACTAGAGTGAAAAGTGATCACCTTTGAAGTGATTAGGACTAAATCTGTAAATATTTTAAAGACTTGTCAAGAACAAAGGAAAATTTTTGGTGAATGTAGTTGAAAGACTGGCAGACTAAATCCTTCTGTGGGTAATTTGACCTAAAGAACCGAAAAGCAAATTTTTATTGACCCTGGAAGATTTTTATGTGACGACTTTGACTAGATCAAAAATCAGCCACCATGAAGGTGGACGTTTTGCAACAGGTGAATGTATAGCAGAGAATGCCCTGGCATCACCCCAGTGAAGAGGAGCCATCCTATATGAAATTACTTTTTAGTTGCTTTAGAAACTGGACCCTCTCTAATTTCTCACATTCTAATCATATGTAACACTTTTCCCCTCTTCAGGTAAGGCAACCTTGTTTTTATTAGCATTTACTTTCATTTTCTTCCTCTTACATGAACAAAATATAGTCACAATGTCAAACATTGAATTTCTCATTCCTCAAGACTAATATGAAACCTATAATCCATATTTACTTGCATTACTTCAGTGAGTAGTGATCGAATCTTGTCAGCTAAGTGGGTGATTGCAAACCCTATATATAATGCCCAGTTCCCACTGTGAAAGTGCATTGGTATTATGAATGGCATCCTGCCAAAAACTTGTCAGATGACAACCTGGTGACCATTCCCTCAGGTAATCATGATTAACTCAGACAAGTGTGAAATCCCATTACAGCAGTACTATATAAATTTCAGCAGAGTACTTTACTATGTGTTGACTCTTCAGATAAAATGGCATTGTAAAGTACAGTATTTTTAAATTGGAGATGACTCTACAGTTATTAAGCATACTGTTCATGGGCCCTTTATGCTTCTATTGATCTGTTTACCAATCTTATTACACTCTCCCTTGACAAATCAGAGGCAACTTTTTGTAACATTCAAAATCTAATTTGTTTGTGAACAAAAGTGATAATCTTATTAGAAACTGACCTGACCTAGGACACATCCTAATGTCATTAATTGTTTGAGGACTTCCTTTATATTCACATGTCTACCCACATCTTATCGGAATCTAATCTATTTGAACCTTTATACATATTCATCCTTGCCCGTAACTTAACCTACTGGTCCTTGTTTGTACTAAACCCTCATTGACACAGTACTAGTACGAAAGAAAACATATCTTGTAAATTGGTGTGGCCCGGCTAGGTATTTGTAGCAGCTGGTAGAAAGTACTGCAGGGTTACGTCATCATGCAGCAGGAACATGTGGACCATGCGGTTAGCAACAATATCTGTAAATATGGAAAAGGACCTATCATACCTATCACACCCATCATAATTCAGATTGTTACAACCAACAGATTTCCACATTAAATACAAAATTAGAGTATGTATTATTTGTTTTTGGTACCAGATATGGTAATATGGTAGATGATATAGAAATAACAAGACTAAAAGCCTATAAAAGCATTAACTACATTATGATCAAACAATACACCGTTGATCTACAATGAGACAAACTCTGGGATCTCCATACTCTCACAGCTACTGGTTTACTTACTACATATGACCTTAGTAGGGTTGATCTGACTACCCTGAAGGAGGAGCCCCAGCTTCTTAATGTCTACTGTGGCCGAGTGCGTCCCTCCCGTGTCATTATCGTCACCTGGATGACACAGTTCAAACATTATTAGTGAGAAACTCCTTTTTTATGAATTAACAAGCAATTGATACAACTCATATAAATCATCAATCATGATATATTACAAAGAACTCTTCATTTAAATGCCAGTCATATCAAAATTAAACAATGGGTCTTATAAAAATAAAAAATCCTTCGCAGGGATTAATTTTTTCTTAATACAGGTACTGTATATTTACAGCACTGTACTTTTAAAACTTATATTACCACAACATAGTACTGTACACAGAACCATGGTCATGTACAGCAACATCCCTCAAAATAAGCAATGTGTTTTTCTTGAAAAAGCAATTGTTAGGTGATTTCTTACTAAACAGAACCCACTTTCCCGTAGGCTTCCATATTAAAAACAGAGATACATTGCAGTCCAAATATTTTCTAACCAAAAGCCCATGTCTTAAACAAATAATGTTCCAGCCCTCTGAGTTTTGACCCTTAAACCATAGTTAACAATATCAAACTTGAATATTGACTTTATATAGGAAAGTGTAAGCAGTTTGTACCCCAGAGCTGAAGATTTATATTGCTAGTGTTGGCTTAGCATTTATGGTGTAAAATATAAGTCTATAAGTGTACTGGGTTCTGTTCCCTTACTGTTACAGTACAACTATCAGCAGTTGCATTAAGATATTTTTACTGTGAACATAATTTTGTTTAGGTATTCTTCAATACTCTAGGCCTTGTTATTACTTGGTTTAGTCCACTGTTGTAGCATTGTAGATAAAACCTTGAGTAAATTTCAGCAATGACAAACAGTTATTGTTGGTTTATTTTTGTTATTCTGTATACTTTAAGACATGTTTAGAGAATAATACATAATTTTGCTGGAGTAGCTATATTTTAATGTTAAAGCCACAAACCTAATGGTGACTAGTATAAACAAAGAAGTTTGTGGGTTACTTTTATGAAGTTGCATTTAGGCGTGCAAGTATGGGACGGGGCAGGATGATTGCAAGCTGATGTAACACCGACTGTTAATATCCTAAAACACTAAATTCTTGTATTGTACATCAACACTTTGGTGTGAAAATACAGTACATGATACTTTATATAATAACTGCATAAATAAAATGTTCACTTTACTGTACAGTACCTAAAATTCCTGAAAATAGATGTCCAGTTTCTTAAAGGTTATCATCAAGGAAACCTAAAAAAATTGCTTAGAAAATACAGTTGACCCTCGTTAATTCGGACCCCTTTAATTCGGATTTCGGATAATTCGGACGAAATCTGAACTAAGCAAGGGACTCTCCGTATCAAATTTCTGGTTCTGGGATTGTCCGATAGATGGCGCACGCGCCAGACCGCCAGTCATTGTAGACTTAGCGCCATATTCGAGTATCAGTGTTGTGTTGCCCTGCAATTTTCGTTGATATTTCAGTGATTAGGGATCTTTACATCATGTCTTCAAGGGGGAGTAATACGCTGAAGAGGAAGTAAGTGACCATTTCTGTGAACCAGAAACTGGAACTTATAAGGAAGTTAGAGGCTGGTGCTTCGGTGGCTAGAGTTTGTGATGAGTATGGTGTTAAAAAGCAAACAGTTTCGGACATATGCAAGGCTAAGGACAAACTCACTGCATTTTCTTTGAAATATAATGCAATATTATGCAATATTAACCCCTATATTGGTTAATTCGGACAATCAGCTAAAACGGACACCGTTCCCCCCCTATTAGTGCGTTTTAACGAGGGTGAACTGTAATGACATGAATATAAAAAACATTCAGTAAGTGTAAGTACTGGGGGAGGGAGATGTACTGTACTATCATGGACAAAAGTTTGCTCCCTCCCAAACTGAAGCAGTATCGACCCCCAAATGAGATAAAACAGCACACCCGCACCAGATGACAGTCAGGGGAAGTCAGTTCGGAGACTCATTCCCGTGACTCAGTTTCACCAAAGGGAGAGAACTTTTGTCCACGATAGTACAGTGTATATGGTATATATTTGCTGGCAAGAGGACATAAATAAATGTGTGACCCATAGAAATGCTTAAGTTGCCACCATAAACCAACTTCTTGATTTCTGTGAGATGTCATAATAAAAGAAACAAGAAATACTGTACAGTATATCAAAACTGACTAAGACTCAGAGGTCAAACAACTGGAAAAATTGAGCCATATGGTCAATGAGGACAACATAGAAAGACAGATAATAAAAAATAATGCCAGTCATTACCATGTCAGGCTTGTACTGTATTAAGATGCAGGTCGTCCCCAAAAAAGTAGGAAGTATAAACAGCTACAAAAATACTACACATATATATTTTCTTACCCCATACTGGCACAGACAAGTTCTTGAAATGAGTCGAAACATCAACAACATCAGTAGATACAGATATAATCAGTGTGCCACGTCGGTTAGCCGAAAAAGTTATGTGCTGTGAGAGTGTCTTCATGCGGTCCACTACATGCTTTATTTGACGGAGTGGAGGCAAGTACACAGAGGAATCAAACTGAGGCATTTCAGGCTCCTGGTACACATGCCACTGTCGTCGCGGAATTAGTGTTACAGGAACATCGTGCACTACTGTTCTCGCGTGAACTGATAGAGATGGCTGAAAGAAACAGAAGGTACAGATTAAAGTCTATATAAAGAAGTACCCATGCGCATGGGTGGAGCCTATCATGTGAAGTCGTTGGCGTGTAGTGGATCCTGGCTGAGACCACCCCACTGTATTAGATGATATTCTTGCCATATATCCTGATTTTCTCATCCCCTAGCACCACTATCTTTCAGTTAGCCACTTGAACTTCTCATGATATTCTTATTCTTATTATTAAAAATGTATTATTATTATTAACAATCCCCTTCTTCTCTTTATTATTATTTATACTCTTATGAATTTGCAGCCAGTACCAGTGTAAGTAATCATGGGCATATAGGCTAACTATTTACGGAGGGGGGGGGAACAGAAGGGATACAAGAATTAAAATAGTTAAAGAAAATATATATTTTTTTTAATTATTATAATTATCATCATTCTCTCTCTTCAAGCTATTACAGTAGATCAGTGAATACAAGAACTATACAGGTATATATGTGTAGAGGTTTTCAATTTATCAATAAAGCCACTAGATACATTACATATGACAAGGCTATACAACAGTTTCAAACAACAACTTGTCCCTCCACATCCAGTTTCCTGGCCAAAAGTTAGACTTTAGGGGATTTAAATTTGAACCTGCACAATAAAATCCACTCTTTTCCGTTTTTTATCCTTTGGAAATTGATTATTGGAATACAGAAATTTTCAGCCGATATTAAATTACCTGTACAGCATTATATACCCCGCCCCCTCCCACTATAATTTTTGCCATCATTTACAAAACAGTGAGACAAATGAATCAGAATTGGAGATTTTGGTCTACACTGGTTAGCTGTGTTATCTGGTACGTATATCAAAATTGCAAAACTGGAGACCATGGAAATTGAGGGTATACTGTACTGATTTCATATCCATGAGAAAATGAATTGTATATACTTTCACTTAAAAATCTGCGAACTGACTTACCAATTCTACCTCCAGAGTCAGACAAGGACTGTGTTTTCTTGTGAGCTTCACTTTCAAACTACGGGGAGCTGGTTGAGCTGTCTTAAAGGAGTTCAAGGTCTTTGAGAGTTTATCTGCAATTATTGCAACATCAACATCATTAATAAGTACATACCACAAAAATACCATCATCAACACTGTGAGTAGTAGAAGAAAGTAACTGTTAGTGGTTGTGCACCAATTTATCCAGAAAACCCTTTGAATACTAGACACTGAGACATATACTGTAGATGGGAGTGCACAACCTCTCCTATATAGCTGCTCTTGGACAGTGGCTCTGACTCTGAGCCTAGACAGTTAATGCTATGGATTCTTTCATAACTTGCTTTCTAAGTGGCCAGTAAGTCCTTCTGAGGTTAGGGGAAGGTTTCATGTTACCGACAACCTGTAGGACATTTAATGCTCTACATCATTATACAATACACAAAGACCGGGCAAATATTTATGAGCATTTTATACAATGGAGTAACTGTTGTGTTGCAAGACAATGACAGTGAAGGAACTTTAGGAAAAAATATTGTTTATTTTTCAATTCACAATATTTTCCTAGTTTGGGAGATGTGGCTTGGGGCGCCAACTGAGTTTTGTACGAGCTGTTTCGTAATTCTTAAAATATAGCAAGAGACCATAAAATAGGTGTTTTTGTAATACTAACTGACTTGTGGACCAAATACATGTTAAAAAAAAAGTCCTTGAGCACACTGTAATTGACGTTTAAGATATTCTAAATGTGTTAAATTATTTCAGGGTCATTAATTAACACTGCAGTATTTATTTGAATTTTAAAGTTTTAATCCCAGAACCCTAACCCTGTGGTATTCCTGGCCGTGGTCGAAAATCTCACCCCCTTGCAGTCTTTCGACGCAGGTTGTGTCTGTAACAAATGGTTTTTCCATTTTAGAAAACATTGGTTAGAGCAATCCAGACCCAAACTGTACCCTTAGAGACACATCTGCCAGAGTACAAGGCTAGTGGGAGGAACTAAGGCAGTTGATAGGGCCGGTCCACTGTTCTGCGTATTTCTGTGCAAGATACAGCTGAGTGGAAGGGGTCGCGTCAACACGGGAGGTCTTAATGAAGCAATTTGTGTCGAAATACCATGAGAGGGTTAAGCAGCATGGTAAGGAATACCTTTGTATGAAATTTGAACAAAATCAAAGTCTTAATTTCAAGAGGCGACAAAAGCTTTTTTTTTCTGGAAGGTAAAAACTAACATCTTTAAGTGGTAAAGTGAGCCTATATTCTTAAGAAAATGCATATAAAGGTGATTTAAAACTAACGGGCACTTTTGGGGTGACAAATGCCCTTTTTTCTGGAAAGTTAAAACTAATGTGCTTAAGGATCTGTCGTCCATAGTTTGATACCTGTATAATTACTTGTCCAAAATTTTAAATCACCTTCATATAAATTTGCTTTAAAATATAGACTATCTTTACTCTATAAACACGTTAGTGTCCACTTAAAAAAAAAATGTCGTTTGACGTCAAATATAAACCTGACCTAATACCTTGGGTTTTCGGCAATATGGGCCATAAAATTGATTTCTTTGACATTTCATACAAAGGAACAGTACTACTGTACTTTACATGCTGATTAAGGATCTGGGTTCACACTCTAAAAATTTAAGTACTGTAATTAATTTTATTTAATGACCATTGAAATAATTAAAAGTCAATTACGCTGTGCCCTGGAGTTTTAAATCAACTTTTTAGACATTTTCTCGTTTTGTGGCATTTGGGGTCATAGAATGGATTTTGTTTAAATTTCATACGTACGTACTTTACATGCTGATTAAGGATTTGGGTTCACAATTAAAAAATCTGAATAATTAATGTTAATTAAATTGTAAAGCTATTCTACTGCATATTCTTGAGAAAATGTACAGTATATGAACGTGATTTAAAACTTACAGGGAAATGTGCCCAACAATTTATAGAGTAAAAATATTACACTAGACCAGTGGTCCCCAAAACATGTATGTAGTTCGTGGGTGCCATGGCACCCACGGAACCATATTATGGAGCTTGCAAGGGTTCATTAGAAAACTGTGAATTATTTGGATTCTTTGTAAGAGTGAAATTAATGAAACTGTGTAATACAGTAACTTGATGCAATTGTCGTGTACAGGACGTGTATTTACCCCAGAATGGGCCCAGAGAGAGAGCTAACCTTCTAAATGTGGTAAATACACGCTTCCTGTCCAAAAGTAAATGTAAAATGTATGTAACTGGTAACAGTTAGATGGGTAAAACTGTAAATAATTGTACAGTATACATGTTTTTTTTTTTCTTGAATGCAGATCCAGTTTTGGTGCCCTTCACTATATTTACAATGATAAATGTGGCCCAGAGCCTACAAAAGGTTGGGGACCACTGCGTGACTAGAAGGATTCAGTGCTATTATAACTAGAAGTGATTATACTGTATAAGGTTCAGATATGCTTTACCTGGTTCTAGTTCCAAAAAAATCTGATTATCTTCCTGTGAAACTCCTTCCACGTGGAACTCATTAAAGAAATGTCCCTGATCCAGCTCTGCCCATAGACCAGGTGAGCTCTCAACAGCTCCTGACTCGTGTATGATGAAGTACACATGTTCTTTGGTGATCCTCAGCACACAGATCTTTGACAACCGAGCCACCGTGCTCACGATATCTGCAAGAAGGATAACATAAAAATTACTTCAGTAAAATAAACTCATGAACATTTTCTACAGAAGTCATCAACGGGCTGTGCACCTTTAAGGAACTGACAAAAACATACAGGGGACCCCGAAGTTTGCGGATTTGTATTTTGTGGTCCTCTATTATTTGCGGATGACATCCTGGATGTACCCAAGAATGTCTGTGGGTAGTTTTAAAGTTGCCGGCATTTTTGTGGCTGGGACAGGGAGCCATTCGTTTTAGAGACAGTAATTTCCTCTACCTGTATTGTAAATATGTGTGTGTAGCCACACACACAAAACACATACAAATAAATAATAATGGGAAAATACTCTTACAAATAATTAGAACCAGATTTATTAAAAATGTGAGTCTACCCTCAAGTCCGTGCTTTATTACTTTATTAATAAAGCACGGACTTGAGGGTAGACTGTCACATTTTTAATAAATTTGTTTCTGATTATTTTCCCATTATTATTTATTCATGTGTTTTGTGTGTGTGTGTTTGCACACACATATACTGCACACATATTTACAATACAGGTAAAAGAAATAATTGTCCTGAGGGAATATTCATTTCTTTGTACACAAAAAAAAAAAAAAATGTCCCCCTCCCCCGGTCCACAAATGTTATTCGCGGCCATTTTGAGAACCCAACCCCCGCGAATTTGGGGGGCCTCCTGTATTAATGTAGTAAGCTACTGTATATCAGATGATAATGAAAATGAACCACTCTGTACTGCCATATGTGTAGTACATAACGACCAGCAATTTATTCGTGCTGATATCAGACACGGTTTATTAATAGTGCTTATTGTAATTTCACTACAAGTACAGAAGCCACAGCCTACATGAGCCTATATGCCAGGGGTGACCAGACTTGCTTAACCCAATTTTCACATACGATAATCTTCAGATATTCGAAAGCCGCAAGACATGAAGAAAATGCACACACATTTTTAGTGTTTCACATTTTATTACAAAAAATTATGTGCAAATATTACCTTGAAATACATGTACGCAGTAATATTTACTAACGTATGTAGTTTTTAAATTGTTAAATTTTATGTTTCAATAATTAGGAGTACAAATATACATATACCAAATGTTATCCAAATCTTGAGTGATGTTTGTTTTAACGGTGTTGAGCATGTTTAATACATAATGAACTACGGGCACATCTCAGAAAAAATATGCAAGTTTGCATTTCAGTAACATTAAATGGGATTGTTGAAGGTAAAAATGTGAACATAATTTTAATTACAGTAAAACCTCGATTAACCGACCACATATGGGGGGAAGGGGGCCGACGGATAATCGGAAAGGTCGGTTAATAGTACATAAAGTCTACGGAAATAAAACATGCATTTTCAAAGTACCTTTCCCTAACATACCTCATTTAATTCCCTCTATTCATTTTTGTTCATTTGCCATTCATATTTCAATAGAATTTGCTTTAAAACATTAACCACTTTAGTAAATAAACATGAACCAGCACAGAAACCGTGAATAAAAAATGGAAAAGTCAAAGAACATGTCATCACAAAAATTGTGACCAAGTCCCAGGTTGCTGATCTAACTTTCTACCTCATTTACACACAATTGCAGGGTCTCAATTGCTTCTCTTACTATTGACAACACAACATACATATATTGTTTCTCATTCTTGATTTTGTTTCATTTTTGCTTTTATTTATGGTTCTTTATTACTACAGTATTATTATTATTATTATTATTATCATTATTAATATTATTACATTATCGCCACCCAGGCCCCGATGTGGGTCAGTGACCTGCGCCCGGGTGGGCTAATCCCCATGTAAAAAAAAAAAAAAAAAAAATATTTATATATACAGTATATATATTTTTTTTAGGAGTTCGGGATTGACGGTTAATCCGAAAGTCGGTTAATCAAGGGTCGGTTAATCGAGGTTTTACTGTATATACATTTGTCTTAGTAAACATTTGGTCAAAACTTGGAGGAATACATAAAAGATAAAAGAAGCGAACCAATAAAATTAGAGACATGTTAATCAGTTACCACCCCACAAAGCTTGTTTTTCCGTAATTTTGATTTAGGTGGATAATCACACGAAAAGTTTTTGTGATTTGTCTTAGTGGTGTTTCAAGTTACTGGCTTTGTAGTGAGTGAGTGACTCATTGCGGATAAGGCACAAAGGTTTACCTCTTTTAACGGTAAATGTAAATCATCATCCCCCTCTGGCTTAAAATTTCCGTTTTCATCTTCATACTTTCGCGTCTTACAATTAGATGATGCCATCTCCCTTCACAAAATTTTCACAGACACTGCTATCAAATAAATTTAACAGTATTTAAAAGCAACTTACTTTTATGAACTGTAAACACAACTTGTGTCAGGAACATACCAGATAGATCTGGACAGTTCCTTGTCTTGTTAATGTGTCAGGTCATGACGTGAGGCTGGGCCCCCTATCCCGCCCCTTCCTCTGACTTTTCTCCATAATCCGTGACCTGACTCGGCACCGATGAACGACACCTGACTAAATTCTAGCATTAAAATTAAAATTCTTAAATATTTATACTCACCTTGAATATTTAACTTTTGTTTTAATCCAGTGGCCTCTCACTTTATAAATACAAAGCTCGAACTTTTTCTTTTAATTACCTGTACCTTTTATATTAATCATGATGGAAAAGGAGTTCAGCTAAGATATTTTTGCGAGCCACACATTAAGTCTCAATCGCGAGCAGTGTTTTGGCCACCCCTGCTATTTGCCATGTTCCAATTATTTTCTAATTAAGAAAATATCCTTGGGTAATATTTTGCTTATTTTTTACACCTAGGCTAACTACAGTACTGTACAGTATATTTTAAACACTTTTTGTACCAAAAAGATAGAATGAGAGATATACTGTAGATTCATAGATATTCAGTATACAAGTACAGTACACACTGGTTTACCTTACTGTATATCTGATAAATCACATAATGCAGCAGTATCTGGTAAGAATTTGAAAGTGTTCCTGGAATGAAACAAAGCACAGTATTCCATATATAGGTAGTGAAGAAGGCATTGTAGAGTGTTGACCTGGTTAACCTGCAAACAATTCTGCTATGTGCCTATACAGTACACCACCTAACTACTGATAGTTTAGATTTGCAAGAACATAAGTAATGTCTTACAACATTTTAATTTATAATTTCTATTTTAAAATTAATTGATACATGATGGCTCAATTTGGCCACTTTTGCACTTAGACAACTGATCAGTGAATAAATCAGAGCACATGGAGATGCATTATACAGTACACTACAGTAATATTCATTAAGTTCTGATAAATATGCTACAATATTACTTTACTATGCGCACAAGACAGATCCTGTGGTAAACACCAACTCTCTTCAGCAGTGACAACAACAGTGCTTGAGAGATAGTGAGTGCTGGTAACATTATTAGGGAGAGTGGGTCAGTGGGAATGATCAGCTGTTACTTCTCTGTAAACAAGAGACTGAGAAGCTAGGAACTACGGTGCAATAGTTCACCTGGGATTGAGTGTGGGATTTTGGGTGGGCAAATTAATTATTTTTCGATTTCTTTTATTAATTTGGCACCAAATGAACTTAAATAATATTGCATGGGAATTATTGTGAAATTGCATACTGTACTGTCGTTATAAAGGGATCGCGGACTGCCTAGCCAGAGGTGGTGGGTTGTCCTCCCTCATCCGCCACCTCCTTTCCCCGGCAACACACCAAACAGTTTTGTACAATATCTAATATAATTCATATTCTATTCCTAAAATTCATTCATCTTCATCTATTTCATAATATATTCCTAAAATAAGAAGCGATTCTTTGGAACTGCTCAGCTATTTCAGATTAATTCTGAATTCAAATCGTTTAATTAATTTTTGAAAAAACATAAGAATTAGGCCAAAATCCAAATCCAAAAGATCAGAATGAATGAGGGTATAGTGCCTAACTTACTAACTGCCAGACTCCCAGCCTTATAAAGTTGTTTAGCCATGTTAAGTTGTTAACCGAAAAATCTGCCATCACGGCATGTCCTCTGTTTTTTTACAACTGACCCATTTGGTCCGAGTGTACCCTCACGTCCACAAAAACATAAAATTACACCCTGTCGCTTCAACAAAGTTGCTTTCATTGGTACCATATATCAAAGAATTAAGTATTTACTGTTTAATATAGCTGGTGGTCCGCCCTCTGCGAGGAAGTCAGGTAAGGTTAGGTAGGTTTCTTTGGTTGGTGAGATCAAATTATATTAGTTTCTAGTAAATGTCGTCTCTTTTAAAATACCTGGCACTTACTATAATGATAAGAACATGTGTGGAAAAAATAACAAAATTGAACAACTCCTGGTGATAGAGCTGTTCTCAGGCATTACGAAAGAAAAAGTTGTGGTTAAGATTCGTTTTAGTGTCCCTGCCAGTTTCTATAGAAAGAGTCAATATTTTGCTGTTTGGACTTTATATACAGGTTAATAACTTTCAACATTCTTGGATTGTCATTATTTTGGAGGTAATGTCAAAATTTAATTTGATGACAAAATATACAAAAATATCACGAGCGTCTCAACACTGCCTCCACCCTCTCCTCCCCCACTACAAAATGACCAATGGCACTCCTGCTCTTTAGGTTAGGTTATGTTAGGTTTAGGTTAGCTTTCATTGTAGAGAGGAAAATAAATTTTTCTGGTGTATTTTGGTGTGCTTCGCTTAAATCTGACCTTCATTTTCTTTTGAAATTCCCCATTTCTTAGTAAAATGTCTGATATTTTCTCATAAATGGGGCTTTTTCAAAGAAAATGAAGGTCAGATTTAAATAAAGCACACCAAAATACACCAGAAAAATTTATTTTCCTGAAAAAAACGAATCTTTACTCAAATTGGTAAATATTCATTTTATGGTTGTGGCTCCTTTATGTTATGAGAATTCCAACATCTAAATCACTGTTGAAACCTAACCTAACCAAAGCTAACATATAACCAAATACGAAAATCATGCCACAGCCATTAAACTCAAAGTAATTGCATCATATTTACGAAAACTCCAGTTAGTCATGAAAGAAATCTTTACCTAAGAAGTCAATAAATAAATATCTGGCAATACTTCACTTGATGGCCACAGTAAGTGCTTCATTGTTTTAGGATTTTTATAGGTTAGGCAAAGTTAGGTAAGGTTTTTAAAGGTTTGTTTGATTTTCTTTTTAGTATTTTACTTATTAAAACCCGCTGAAGTAACCTACGGCCATAAAGTGAAGTATTCTTACCAAACAACTGATCACAGAAACATTACTTTCCTCTCAGGATAATGTCACACTCCCAAACTGATTGAACTTGGTGTAGGAACTCACTTGAAAACTGCTTGATGCATGTAATATCTACCATCTTCCCTCTAAACTTCATTTTGGAGATGATAAAAGTAATATATCTCGCCTTGGCCCTCGAGTCGTCTGGGCCCCCCTGGAGAGATACAGTAACAAATAACTATGGATATAAATCAGATCAATATTAGTTTATTTACAAAGCCATTCACGCAAATATTGGATTTTTTATGTATTTTAAAATATTTAAATCTTGGTATTATACGTTAGAAAATTAAAAAAATAAACTATTTATTTATTTATTTATTTAATTATTTATGCTCGTACCCTTTGTTGTTTGTAGCGCTACGATGAAGATGTACGATAATAAACCACTACGTACAATTAAGTGTTTTGAGAAGTTTCAACTTTTAATTATAATTAAAAAAAGGGGGGTAGAAAAGAGGGTATATTACACATGCATTAGGCCATTAGATACCCGTGCAATAATAGCTGTATAAAGCAAGCCGAATTTTAGCTACAGGGCAGACAGGTCACACTCGTTACTGTCAGAACACTCTCTGGCAGGATATTCCAAGAGTTCACAATTCTAACTCTGAAAGTTTGTCCTCACAGTTTTCGTTACTGTCTTATATTTTAACTTCGTCTAAGACGCTGTTATTCCATTGAAGTATAAGAAACACTCATTGATTCTGTCTGCTGTCGCGGTGAGGAGTGTGGCGGAAAAGTATGTCAAGATTCAGTAGATTTACAAACAGAGTTGTTTAATACGAGATATAATTTAATAATACAGTTAGTTGTTATTTCCTTCACACGCTCCTCATAACGATTTTTAATTAAACAAGTTTTGTAGTTTTTTAATATATATAAATTTATTTACACGTGTGAAATCTTAATCAATATATTATGTTTTTGTTTAAGTATCAAATATTATTTCAATTAGAATTAGTTCGGTTTGTTTTCAATTCAAATTAATGCACTTGCAAACACAATAAAAGAAATAAGTATGATAGCCAAGTACATTACTTTAATATTTTTAGTACAATACATCTGTAAACAACTCGACAGCGACAGCCTCACCTCACCTTGTGTGATGCTGTGATCTAGTTGTCCCGGGAACCAAACCGCTCATAAAATAACAGCGTCGTGTGGAGGTTTCAGTTTGGCGTTAATTATTGGCCTTAATAACAATGGTTGAACGTATGGACCAAGAAGTAAGTTTTACTAACCTCTAATAAGCAGCGTCTGTCTTGAGTTACTTCTTAGGGATGGTCGTGGCCTCGTGGATTAGGCTAAATATGTCCTGGAAGTGTATCATTTTGTAATTGTGTTCGATTATCTAATGATTAATAACTACTGGGATGTTTTAATGATGACAGTTGAGGAGATGGTCACCACTTGTAAAGTAACTATGCTAAGGACCCCATTGAAATTTAGGACTCCAATGGGAATAAGTTTTGATTGCTTTTTTGTTTGTATACCAGCAGCACTCACTGTACAAGTTCGAACCAGTGTTAAATTTTGTTTTGGTTTTGCTGAAAACACATGTAAGCATAAAACATATTTTATCACAAATTTTTCTTTCATAATTAATATCCTATTTGTGGTAATACAAGTAATCCACGTGTGACACCTCCAAGTACAGTAGCTGTTTTGGGGAATTTGTTTTGTGAACATTTCTTAATGGATGAATGATTTTGAAGGTGATTGGTGCTACTTTATCCTATAGAATTTCACCTTGTCATATAGAAGGAAAGTTGTACAATTATCAAGATAATCCACATCACTTTTCCTTACGAGTTATGGAATCACCCGAAGATTAGCCTCCAGCTTATTTCACCTTATGATTTAATACCCTAATACTACCTGTGGGCCATCCTGAGGTGGTTACTAACCTTCAGATGAACTGACTTTTGCATTACAGTATATTTAAGGTATTGTAATCATTGAGATTTTCACAAAAAGTTGGAGGGGAAAGAAAACACTATCACTGATCCTGTTGCAAAATTATACTCTAATCATATGGTAGAATTCGAGAAAGCCATTGTCATCTCATTCATAAATTTACATGAAATTTACCCCCCAAAAATTAAATTTATGGTATGTTTGTTGTAGGAGTAAAATATGTTAATGGTGACAATATTGGATGAATAATAATATTATTTCCCCCGCCCCAACACCATTGCCTCTGTATCTTTGGTGCTCCAGTGATTTCTAAAATGTACAACCGAGATCTTTCAATTACTTTTGGTGTTTATTAGGATAAATATAGTCAGATTGGGCAGTATTCATTGGTTCATGGAAGTGTGCTGAGGAAACCGATATCTTGGCAGTAATAAATGTGAATATAATTATGAACCTGTAGTAAAGTGGTACTCCTAGATTTTGTGTCTATCTAGTTTTAGTTATATAATATAATTTACATTGGGACCTTGCCAACATCTGTTCTGATTACTGTACCTTATGCAATGACTAAATCAAACTCAACCTAATCCATCTACAATTCTACATTAATTATAATCATATATGACTGATGAAAAATTACATTTGCAGAATGAAATAAGTGGAACTATAGCCTCTGATCTGCCGAGAGGAGTAGCACTGCTGGCAGACCTTGCAACCAATCTCAACAATGTTAGAGCCACTTTTGATGCTTTGGCTGAGAGGATCAAAGCTGGTGAACTGAACACAGCCAAGGTGAGTCAGATTTATATTTATCACTCAATAGCTACTTTGAAGTGATTATGACTTGTATAATATGGGTCTTCATTGAGATGGAAAATTCCTCTTCATAAATGTTAATTGAAAATATGCAAGTTTTTTGGCCTCTCAATATTTGATAGTTCATAATATTTAACCCAGAGGTATATATGGCTGAGTTTCCCTACTCTGGGACACTATTATTAGTGTAGTACTTCATGATTTATATACTTTAATATGTGTGTGCAGATTTATATTTATTAAATTAGTGGGATCATAGCTTTATATCATTTGAGTTGTCATTCAGCCCAAGATTTGTAGATGAGGATTTGTATTGCAGTAATTAAACTTATTTTGCAAGAGCAGCTAAATCTGCCACTAGGTAGTCCAGCTCCGTCAGTGGTGGGCTCTGCCAATGGGGTTCAAGGACATTTCATCACTGGTTTAGTATAGACCTAACCTAACCATGGCTTTATTGCCTCCAAAATAAAGACATTGTTATGTAAATTTAATAAATATAACATGGTATTCACTAGACCAGCGATGAATTGCCTGGTGATGCTCTTGTTGGCAGAATGAGACAAGTCATTTCCCTATTCCTGTAAGATTAAAAAGATAATTTTGTGCTCAAGACTTTATTTTTTATTTATTTTTCAGGGATTAAGTTTACTGGAGCTCAAAAACCAGTCTTTTCTCTCATACATGGGTAACCTCACCTACCTGACTCTTAGAAAACTAAAAGGTGCTAAGATTGAGGATGACCCCAGTGTTGGTAAGCATCATAACTCAAACGTCATTATCATGCAGTTCATTTCCTTCATAACAATAGGGCACAGAATATTTTGTGAATCCACTTGTCACATATTGAATAGTTTCCTTGCTAGATTCAGTGATGGGTTTGTGTTTAAAGTAATTAGTGACTGTGAATGGATACTGTCTTTTGAGTGTAACAAAAGGCCACAGAGCTACTGTGCTTGATCAGTCAACACTCTTAAACTTTGATTGAATTCGACATGAATTCTATAGTTCACAAGACCTAAGATGGATTTTTTTGAGATAGCAAATGCTGTTATGTTATACACTGCTGTACTTGTGTATGGAGTGTATTAATAGAGCACAAATTTATTGTGTAATACTGTATTTCTTTTTAACAAATTGCAGTTGTTCTAAATATGCAAGAAACAAACTTCATTAATATTTACATTTTAGAAATGTTTAAATATTTATACAGTATACTGTAATTATCATTTATTAAGATATTGTTAGGTAACCAGCAATGCATATTATTGTGGCCTAACAAATTATTATTACATTACTGTATTAGGTGTACAATACTACTTTTTCTTATAATTATAATACAGTACAGTATTGTTAAGCAGAACTGGTTGATATTAGATTGTTTGTATTTCCAAGATGTTTTGTAAAAATAATTATTATTTCCAGATATTTTAGAATATACTGATAGTATCATTTATATTTTGTTAGATTTATTAGAACAGAAGAAAAATTGGATTGTATGTTGTTTCAGATCGACTGGTGGAAACAAGAACAGTTCTAGAACGTATCCGTCCATTGGAAGATAAACTGAAGTACCAAATTGACAAGCATGTGAAAGTAAGTTAATGGTATTCATTGTATGGGTTCTATCAGTCTGTTATCTTCCCTTCATTCCCTCTGTTGTGGGTGGATCAAGGAAATGAGAAACTTTCTTACTCTTCTTTCAACACCACTCACATGCTGTTGCTGATGACTTTAACCAACACAAAGTTTATCATCCTCCTCTCATGCCTGTACCCAGTTAAGTCTCCTTGTAGATTGCGGCTAAATACTACAACTGTATATAATAAAGATAATGAGCATAAAGTTCACTGGGAATTTATTATTTTTTTTTTACTATCATTGTCACCAAAACAGACTCTCATAGTCCCTTACAAGCCTGATTGTGTCTCGGCTTTCATTCAGTATCACCCTCTTGTACTAACCAACTTCAAAGAAAGGATCCCCAAAATTAGGTTTGATTAATTTTTTGGCTTGTCCATCCTCCTCCACATCCTTTTATCCTATACAGTAATCATGTTTGCCCTCACATAGAACCACTCTCACATGTAGGGTGGCACCTCACAGCCCTACTTACCACTATCAGACAAATTGTGAACTAATGCTTTTCCTGCCAATATTTCCATTTTGTGTCATCAAAATCTAATCCTTCATCCTCCCACCTTTGAAACCCATTTATAAGAAAAGTAGTCAAAGGGATGCGAGTTGTTGTGCATGGTGCTTATTAAGTGAAAGAGCACATGAAGAAGACCAAAGGTACCTTAAGAAGCACAGGGTTAGAATTTACAATAAGAAGGGGAGTATATTCTGTAGAAGTGTGTGAAGAGGATTATGGATGATGTCATGATAAGTTTCTCAATAATTTATGACCGTTCACTCCTTGTTGTATTTCAGGTAGCTGCTGATGGGGTGGTCACTGGGGATGATCCGTCAAGGTTGAAGGGCAACATTGATAATATTGGATCGTCTTCAGATGAGGACGAGGAAGATGGTAACGTAAAAAAGGTCAAGAAAACAGAGGAGGATAACCAGAAGATATACAAGGTCCCCAAGATCAGCCAAACACATTATGGTAAGGTTTGCTATATGGTGATGGTTATATATATTTGAAATTGTATTAGGATCATATTTGCCAGTGAGTTTTATAGAGTAATTTAAAAAAACAAGTGAATTCACAGTTATCTTTACTTTTTGGTTACAGTCCTAGATTTGAAGTAATGGAAAAATCTGTTTGAAATGAAAAGTGATGGACAAAGTGCTCCTTTAAATAAATGGTTTCCAATATTTTTCACTCCATTCCTCCCTTGAGAACCTCCAAATTCCCTGTGGACCCCTTCATTTGTCCCCAAAACCATTAAAAATGATGATGAAAAATAAACAGTTCTGATCAGGAGATGAAGAAAACATATATTTATCACTTCTTCCCCCTAAGAAGACCAAGAGCATATCTATCAATAACTGTAGAACTATAATACTATAGCTACTGTATAACAACAATAATCACATTGTTGATAGCATTTAAAGTCATTCACTGAGTTATTTAAAACTCAAATTGAAAAAAAAAGGCAAATTCTACCAGGCCAAGTTGAAATGAACAATAAAACCTTATTTTTTTTTCTTCAGATTTCTCAGATTTTCTTGAAAATGTTTCCACTTTTCATAGCCCGCCGTGAACCCCTGAAATATTGCTGTGTCTAGAGTCTAGACAAGATAATGCTCTGTGTATGATCGTGAAATTTTTATTGCATACTATCTTTTGCAGATGGGGAAGTAAATAAAGATGAAGCAAAGGAGAAAGCAAGACGTCGAGTCCTTAACTCTACTATGCTGCGTGATGCTCTCTCTGAACACACAGAGGACCCAGAGGTTGTCTTTAACAATGATGTCCTGAAGCAGAAGGCCATGAAGAAACGTAGAGAACTAGAAGTGTAAGAAAAATTTCAATATTGAAGTAAATCATGTACACTGAGAGAATGAGAAGTAAAAGATAGGAAAAAGAATAATAATTCAGAGATGGAAGGTTGGAGGGAAGGACCTAGAAGGAGATAGAAGGATGGAGTGGAGGATACACTAGAAGTAAGATTGAGGGACATACAGGAGGCAGCAGTGTGGGTTGATGTTGGAAGAGCATGGCAGTGAAAGATTTCTCGTGAATAATGTGCTGTTGAGAGGTAATACTGGCTTGTGTGAAGTGGCATGTGTAATTTAGATTTGGGACCATGTTGAGGGAGTCGAGTACCATAAGTCATATCTCTTGCATTAATAAGAAGGAATGAATGACAATGGTTGAAGGGAAAATATGTGTCTTTGTGTTTGCTCTTGTTTCCAACCATCATACATTAAGTGGATGAAAAGCTTGAAAGTTTGAAAATTATTCCTACATGTTGTAACTGGTGTGTATAGATGCTGTGGGCTTTCTACCATGGGATACCTGTTTTTTTTATTACATTAAACAGATGAAATGAAACAATAAACTTGAAGGTGTTATATTGTCTTGTTCAGTCTGAAGTGGTTTTAAGAATTATTAATATTTGTGTTCTTATTCTTTAATTTTTAGCAAAATAAGGAAAGTAGTCAGTTTGTAACCAATACGTTTTCTTGTTTAATGTGTAAGCGTTTGGTGGTGGTGTGCTGTATAATAATGTTTGATAATTTTTTCTCAGATTTGAGGAGGAAAACATGATCAGAAAGACAGTGAGCCGACGGGACCAAGCAGCCATGCGACAAGTGACTACTCTTGGCACAATGGGCTCAGAGATTTTAGGTTTCAATAACATGGATGCACTACATCAGAGCTATGATCCCACAGCTCCAGCAGCCAAGAGACAGAAGACAGGGAAATCTTCTAAGAACAAAGGAAAAGGCAAATTTAAAGGCAAAAAGGGTAAGTTAACTCTTGAAATTATAGGTGTATGAACTCTACATAAACAGAAAGGGATAGTATAATGGTTTGTCTGGATTTTAATCTCTCATTTGACAAAACACTTGACTTATGAATTACGAGTAAATTCTGATCTTATAACCAAAGTAAAGGTAAATTTAATTGCTAATTTATCGTATTTATAATTCACAAGGAAATATTTTTTGGTGAAGTGATAAATATTTTACTTAACCAACTATTAGAAATTCCTAGTTAAAATTTAAACTGTGTAATTGTTTGCCAATATGAAAATTTAGTACTGTATCTGTACTATAATCATTAATGTTCAAGATAAACAAATACAGTATTCTTTTTATTTTTCCAGGGTTCAAGAAGAAGAGGAAACACTAACACTAGAAATAAAATGTTCATCTATACTCTGAATTTTTATATCATTGCTTTAGAAACATTATGTCAAAAGAAGATACCTGTACTGCATTTACTGCCATATATTAAAGAAAACTGATGATAATCTGGTAGCTATAATTATATTTTAATTTTCATAGTTCACAGGATTATACAGCATTTCACTTTTGATGGTCATATAAGAGTTGCTTTTGTAGTAGCATTTGCCTCCTAGGAAGTGGATACAAGATGGTATTTCAGCATACAGTATGGTGCAACCTTCTATTCTGCCAAAGTCAAGTAACTGATAAATAACCATCATTTAGTAAATGTATAGCATGCATATTGAAAACTGAACCAACTCCCCTCTATATAAATGTAAAGTGACAGAAGAAATACCCTTAACCAAGCTTAATAGTTTTGTGCTGGCTTTCTAAAATGAAATAACTTGGAAGTACTTGTAAAAGGCCACAATTTTGTGATTTTACTACCAGATACAAAATCCATCACTTAATAAGAAAAAAAAAAATCAGGTCCTAATGCAATACACCACAGCTATTGTGCCAAGATGAATTAACTAAAAAAGTAGTTTGGAGGTGTGAATGAAGCTTCAGAACTGCAGGGAACTTCAATCAGTACAGTATAACTTAAATCTCACACTCTATCAATGTTCCTTATTTCCCCGTGGAGAAAGGTTGTTGGAACTTGGAAGAGAGAATGTTGGTAACTAGTACTGTACAGTTACTTCATATTTGCTGATCTGTGTATGTACAATAATTTTTCTCATACTGTTTACATATTTTGAGATGAGTTTGATGACTACTTGTAAAGAATATTTGTCAAATGGCAGAGAAAGTAAATTAACAAACAATGATTATAGCAACAGAAGCCTCATACACCAACCCTGGAGAATTTAGCCACTAGACCGGGAGTCCCTAACACTGATCACAAACCTTGACACAAGTATTACACAAGTCAAAAAAGACCATCTTATAATATTGCTTGAACTGAGCAAAGAGCAACATAAAGTAAAGTTAAATTAGTAATTACAATAAAATCTCAATTAGCAGAGAAACTACAGTACAGGTATTCATATAAGAAAAAACTTCCTTATTAGAATCTCAAATCTCAAGGGAAATTTAAGGTGAGGGATTGTATTATACCAACAAATGTTTCTGTTCTCCCTCAGTATTATCGTAAACATGAGTGGGAAGTATAGGTTCGACACTATTCATACCAGTGTAAATCATTTTATTCTTCTACATTTTATTATTGTATTGAGAACAGTACTGGGCTTAAAAATAACCCTAGCAAAATTATCAAGCACAATGGAGGGCCTCTACACGCGCCACTGGCCTTCCTTCCACGGTATGGTTACTTCTAGTGGGTGGCCATGAGGTAAATAAGGCAAATACAGTATTGTACTATAAGGTATATTAAGAAAGCATTCCACCACCCACAGCTGGTTCTCAGGTGTGACTTGATTAAAAGATTTATATAAATATTAGTATCCCAGCTTATATCACCTGATAATCAAACCCCCTAATGCTACCGGGAGGGGTTAGGTTAGGGTGTTTAATAATCAGGTGAAATAAGCTGGGGTGCTAATCTTCATGTGATCTGAGTGAACGGTAACAACGAAAAACATTCATGCACTGTGCACTGATGATTCTTAAAAGTAACTTTTTTTTTTTAAGATTCTAAATCATGGCTAACAGAATTTTAAAGCAATTTAGCACTAATCCCTGAGAATTTAATAATGCAGCATAAAATATGGGTATGTATATTTTTTTCTCTTTTCAAGCCTTTTTCTGCATAATGCAGTTTAGCATGAAAAGAAGCAGATATATTCACACAGTCTCCCTTCATTCATTACCATTCACCGATTCTTACTGCTGCAAAAGATGTGTTCTGGTGCGTTACTTTCCTGTCACAACAAGGTTTCCCCTAGTCATTTCACATAAGCCAGTATCATCCAATAGCAGGATGTCCGCCCTTTCCCAAACATTACTTAGTATCATACTTGTCTTTCATTCTGCAAACTGCTGCTTTATATATGTCCAATGCATTCTCCTAGTGCATCCTTTACCCCATCCTTATAATTAAATAAATTTTCTTCCAATACTATTTCAGTATTCACTTTTGAATTATTTACTCTAACAAAATGTTTTCTTCCAATCTTTTAATGTGTTTATACCGTATTATCTGAATAAACTCTTATTCACTCTCTCTCTCTTACCTTTTTCACTTGCATACCTTTTTTCTCTTATTTCTAATTCTGTTTATTCTATTTATCTCATTTATAGCTCAAGCATATCAATTCTAAAACATTTAATTTGCTCCTTTCTCATGCAAATACAATTCTCTGCTGTGCACTAGCCAACAAAATTGACTCACAAATACCTTTGTACAGTCACCCAAAAAAGTCCTGTCGCGAACCATGAACCCCGAGATTCAGACTCTTGAATCCGAAGCATTTGTGGACAGAATAATGTCTCAGTGTCTACTGCTTCTGGTTCACGTGTCTGAATCTTGGGGTTCGTGGTTCGCGACAGGACTTTTTTGGGTGACTACATCCCCATCTTAACCTCATATGACATAGTTCTCCCTCTCAACATATATTTTTAATCTATCTACCCCGTCTTTTACTTCACTAAATCCATTTTTTTCTTTTCTACACAAACTTTTCACTTCTGTTTGTTAATGTAAAAACTCATCCACACATCCTCTTTTCAATTTACTCTTGGTCTAATAAATTCAATTCTTTCTGATTTCACTCTCGGTTTTTCTTATAAATTCTTGGAAATACTTCATCAAGTACACTCGCCAACAAGTCCTGTCACCTCACTTGGCCCTTCATGAACCCAGAGACTTGTGTTGGCGAGTGTACATAAATGCAATAGGCTCTAATGTAATTTTTATGCTCATTCTTATCACCTTTTCCTTATACTGTACTTATTCTCATCACAGTTTCCTTATACTAATATTTATCATATTTACCTTATACCCAGTCACTATATATATATTTTCTGTCATTCCTTTGGTAGTCTTACTTCTGTCTTGCACAATTCTATACTCTCTTTTTAACCAGTTTATCATTATGTATTAGTAATTTCCATGGCGATTCAATCTACTCCAAGTGTCTTCATCATTTTGGATTAATTCATAGAGGCAGCTTCATCTCCACCCCCCTTGTTATTTTTCCCTCTTCTGTTTCATTCTATTCAATCCACCATGTCCTAAATGGGGTAAGGTTATCTCTCGATTCGCCCTTTCTCTCCCTTCTATTTTATATTTAAAAGTTGTTCAATATATTCTCTCTTTTTCTTCAACATATCATCTCCTTTATCCTTAATTGCCATATTTATTTATTCTCTCATCCTACTTAGTTCCCTCTAGAAGTTTTTTTGTTATCTGTAAAACTTTGTGACTTTCACCCCCATCTTACAGCTGTTCTTCTTTTACATTCTTTCATCATACTCCGAATAATTTCACACAAATACTGTACAGCACTTTTAATCAGCCTTCATGACAACGGACTGTATATTAAAATCTGATTATTTATATTTTTAAAGACATACGTACATGTTAATTCTTCTCTTATTGGGAATAATAGAATGCATGTCGTTACAGTAGTCTCAGAACAGTTTCAGTGCCATCTGAGTTTTTATCCTCGTACTATTGCTTCAGTTGGCCAGTTCAATTTATCTTTCTCGACCCAATGAGAAAAAAATGAAGTGTGAACGTTGGAGAATTCCCTCCTATGTTCCTGATAGATTTAATTAATTACTGTATATTTAGTAATGTCTATAGGTTCAATGCTTCTGAATGCATCTTCTCTTGAAAATGCAAGTTTGAAATAAATTTCATTACCCGCCGAGAGCTACGCGGAAAGTTTATGACCTATCAGTATGTTTCTGGGAACGTGTGTGTGAGAAGTGTGTGGGCGGGGTGAGTGTGGCGCTATACTAGTGTCATGGGAATGGTCAAGATCACATACACACGCTATTTGTGAGTGTCAAACTGATGCTGCTCCATAATATATCAAAGCCGACAAGTGAATGGCCACACTCAGGTGCATTAATCATATTCAATGTTCTTTTGTAGTACAAGGTGCAAAAAATATTAATATAATCCATGATGTCATTCATCTTCAGAGTGATGACCATTAAGCGCAATCATGGTTTACTATAGATGGGCGCGCCTTTGTTTCAGGCGCAGAAAATCTGTGGGTGAGCGGGCAGGTGTCGCGGGACAGTTGACGGGCAAATATGGATACCTGCACAAAAACGAGGCTCCAGAAGCCGATGGTGCGTGTTTTTATATCGCGGTGGCGCTGTGAATACACCCAGATGAATCCATGAATACCAAGACTCACGACCCACAGACCACTCATGAAAATTCTGGGCATCCTCGACCATTGTGTGTGGGAGCCATTGTCAAGCGCGGTCAACGCTGACACGTTCATAACACCTATGGAATAACTAAACCTGAGGCGAGACGTGGGTGCCCATGTGAGCCACCTCATCTCCATCTCCACGTCGACCTCCACTGATGTTCTGCACTCCAGATACATTGACTTAAATGAGAAACACCTGCACAGACAAATCCTGAGTGACGTGGAGAGCGCCAGGCGTCCGCTGTAAGCGCATGTAAAGCGATGGAAATGACCGCCGCAGAAGGCTAACGATATGTATGCGAGACGCGGGTTAAAATTCAGCTGATTATGGAGGGATTATGTGAGGACCAGACCTAGCGATTGTAAGTAATGAGAGTAATTAACAATGGAAAAGAGCCTGGTCAGTGCATCGATGAACCAGCCGCCAGCAACAGAGGCTCAGTTGGTCTTGGGAAGGTATCTTGTGCACAGCACTGGCGTCTCCGACCTACACGTAGTAAATAATCGAACCACAATCTTTGGAAACTAAGTAACTACGCCCTCCTGCAGATAATAGAACGGCGTGACACATTTAAAAGATTCACAATGACATTAAAGTTCCAGATCTTCAAGAAAAAAAAAAGCTATCACAAA